TCCTTGCTTTATAGAACAAAGCATGTTCAACAAATTAGAAATATAAGCTTTAGAATTTGTTTGTGTTATTAAATGTCAATAGTACATTTGTTTGTTGCTCTACCAGATTAAATGTTTTCATCATTGCCCCAAATAAGAATATAATAATAATAATGTTTAAATCCTCTCATGAGCCTACTAGTTTTTTCTGAAAATATAACTTGTTGCTAGCTGCAAACAAACAAATAAAAACAGAACTTTCTTTCCATAAATAAAGTGCAGCCTGTATATTTTGCTTTTACATTGTTTACGTTCACACTCGCTATGTTCACTGAAGACCACCAAAGGTTGAAGTGAAGTGTTTATTATACCTTAAATATATTTGATATAAAAGTGTCTTTGAAGTGGCTCACCCTGTGGCAGAAAGCCTGTGTTGGGTCTAGACTGGTGGTCTTCAGCAGGTACATGTCATCTCACCAGGCTTTGTATTGTGAACAGACATTTCCCTTTAGCAGAAACACGGCAAAACTCACCCACAGCCTTCCCCTGAGAGGTAGGACAGAATACTGCTGTATTGAAAAGTTGAGAATTTAAAAAAAATTGCTGTGTTTCACAATATGCCTATACCAATTATTTTATTAAGTACATGAATATAGTGTTTCTCAAACTGGCTTTCATATGACTGGGAGTACATGGACTGTCTCTGGTGGTATACATAGCCATCTGCAGCTTGGGAATTTATTTCATCTGAGACAAATCTGTTGGTTTTGTCAATATTTAGAACTACCTTATCCATGGTTTAGTCTCATTTCATTTCATTTTAGACCATGTTTAACCCTAATTTAGGCCTCTAAGATATTGTTTGGCTTTCGGATAAAATGTGAAAGCCAAACAATATCTTAGATGGTACACGGTGTGCAAAATCTGACAGTCACTGCAATAATATAAAGTAAATGTTCTTTCTCTTTTAAAATAATATTATGAAAATACAATACAGTGTATTAAACTGCCTCTACTCCCCTTTTCTCAGGCATGATAACACAATCTATAATCTGAAAACAACCAAATAGGTTTGTAAATTGAGGACAATAGTTGTATATATAATTTTATTTTTATAATGTATTATTATTGTTTTTTTTTTTTTTTTACATTTCATCACAGCAGAATTTTGTGATCCCCATTTTTATAAAAAGACATGAGAAGATTTGACAGTGGTGTTTTAAATGGTACAAATGAGGATTCTTTAGCAGGACAATGGTAAAAGAAGCAGGATGTGTGTCAGAGAGGTTATGGGATTGGCACACTGGTCCTAAACACTTAGATCCCTGCAGTGTGAGCCTCGATATGTCTGTCCTAATTGGTCATATATAGAGCTTTAAAAAAAAATAAAAAAAAAAAATCCTAATTTTGAAGACCTGAGAATCTATAAAATTTTATTACTGTAGTACATGGGTTAATTGACTTGTATGTTCTCTAATTTCTATGTGTGTACAGAGCACCATAGTGCACTTTTCTGGGAGTTGATGAAATTTACAAAATATTAGACTATTAACTTTTGTTGTTTTGGGGGCAAACCCACTGACAGTTATACATTTCCCATTTGTTGAATGCTCTGATGTTTATCTTAAGAATTTTAGAATACAAAAACGAGACACACATTATTTCCATAATGTAAAATAACTTATATGCTCTTGTACTCCTAAAATATGCTAAATATATGAGATAGGCTAATAGATATAGACATAGATAATGCACCAGTATGTCTTTGTACTGTGACTTTTTATGATGTGACACTTTTCCAAACTTCTTATCTGTTGTGTTGTTTGTAGATTCAGGAGCTGAGACTGTATGCGTGCACTCAGAGGTAACATGGGATCATAGGCTCATCTCCTCCCATCAGCGAGGTGTGAAGGCTGAACTCGTCACAGCCTCTCCCCCCTCACACCCGTCCAGGTGTCAAAGCCCCCACAGAGGTGACACTTATCACTGGTCTGGGAAAGACTTTTCATACACACTTCACTGGAAAAGCCTGTCCTGTTTAGCAAATGCAGAAAGACTTCTGAACATGAATGAGTCATGCACAGTGGTGGAAAGAGTACTGAAAACTCATACCCAATTAAAAGTACAGCTACACTAAAAATGCACTCAAGAAAAAGTGCTGCTGCCAAGTAAAACTACAAAGTATGCAAAAATACGAAGTCATCAGTCTTATATAAAACTAAATTGAATAGTTTAAATCTAAGTTCTTTAAGTTGTTTTACACCAGAATCTGCGTATTCTCTGACCTCTGGCTAATCAGAGTATAGGATGCAATGCTGTTATGTGAGTTGTAGGTGTAGAGAGTCGAGCACATACAGCTCTGAGACAGCTGTGGACTGGGACTTGGATTGTACTTAGTAGTAATGATTAAATGTAATGAAGAACAACTACATGACTGGATTTATATTCAATTTTTAAGTTTAAAAATCCACCCCAAAAAGTACAATTACTTAAAAAATCTGCTCCTTTAACTTACTAGTTACTACTAGTAAGTTTCTAACTAGTTACTTTCCACCCCTGCTTCTACAGCACTGACTCGCTTTTTCTTTCTTTCCAAACCAGATTTATCACATGTTATTACTGCAAACCTCTTGAGCTTTGGGAAAAGTGGCTCTATTACCAAACAACGATTACTGTATTATCTGACCAAGTGCTTACTCAGCATGTTGTAGCTCACAGCACACACACTTACACAGTATCTGACCACCTGATGACTGGTCTGCTTTTAGGGGCATATCTCCACGAGTCCTCTCCCCTCCTTTCCTCTGTAGATAAATATGTCAGTCACAGTTATAGGCCATTTGTGTGTGTGTGGAGACAAATTGGGATGCTGAGTCTCTTGGTTTGGTGCTGATAACAAAGCAGACAGGCTTGTCGTACAGTTGTCATAGCATTGGCATTGCATTTTGGTGCAGACTATAATAAAGCTTGGACTCATGGCATCATCCTGTAAACAAAAAGGGAACATGTTGCCTTCAGGGTTTGTGGGAAACTGTAGGCTATTTCAAGAGGACAGCTTTTACTTTAATATTGTTTTAAAGTGGTAACATAAGGTTGATCATTAATTGCATCAGAAAACGACTTTTTCAATGGATGCGCTTATCATAGTAGTGTATTGTTAATTATTTTGTTATTTGAATGATATTGATGTCTAGAGCCTCCAAAATGTTCTTGAAGATGTTAAATTTGCTTAAAAGAACATCTGTAGTTAAAACTTTTTTTCAATTTAAGGTTTTAAAATCTGAAACATTTCCCTGGTCCCCTGGTTGGGAAACACTAAATCTTGTTCTAAAATCTACATCTCTGTTAAAATGTCCCTTTTGTACATTTTAAACAAGCCATGGGGAGCCATTGATATTTAGTATTATTGCCATCCATGCCAAAACAACTCTCATTTGCTGATTCTGTCCAAATGGTTTTCACATTTGAGACCTTCAGTCACTCAAAAGGAGATGTTTTTGCTGGATGTTTGGTATGGGAGGGCTCCACTGCTCTCTGCTGACACGCGCAGGCAGCCAAAATTACTGCAGGAGTGATGCTGAAAGTCATGCATATAAAGTATTTGTGGGTTTTGTTGCTGCCAATTCAAAGGAAAAGAGACGTTTAGACTGCCGTTTGACAAGCTGACTCATAATATATTTCTGCAATGGAAAGATTTGCACAATATTTTTTTTAACCGTCCCAGCGTTGGAGCTCTAAGATGACTGTTAAATTTATTGAGGAGTTTGATATTAATCCCACTTCAAATGTTGTTGGATGTTGACGAAACACTATGCAACTTCTAATGTATAATGGGCACTATTGTATAAATCCTTTAACTATCACTTGCACCGCTGGAGTCGTCTGTGTGTCCACTAAATTAAGGTCTGTTTTGGATCCTTGTAATAACTGTGTCTGACTCAACATTTCATCTTCGCTACACTATGTCAAGTTGTTGCCCTTGTAATTTAGGGGGCCCTGTATTGTGGCGTGTTGCTGATAATAACTGCTTTTCTAAATAATTGGTGTTATTCATTGTTTTGTTCCTTTAATTTGTACTGTCCCACGTGAGGAGTCTGCCAGGTGACAGTGGCCCTGCCTAACAAAGGCGTTTGATGTGTGCTCCTGCAGCTTCATGTAAATAGTTTGGACTGATGTGGGATAAATATTCATCAGGGATAACTGGAGTCACTGTGTTGTTACCGCTTTTCACCTTGATGCTCTCTTTGATATCCTTTCTTCAAAGTAGCCCAATCCTAATCCAAGTTTTTGTTGTAATGGCTGTGTCTTCAGTTGTGAACAAATAGGAAAAAAGCTGATTATCCCTCGCAGTCCTCTAAAAGTGCGGGTACGCCACCTAGTGGAAGTGGGCTGGAACCTACATATAGTACAGACTATTGCAAGTAAATATAACATAGAGAGAGAGAAAATATGTAGTCTTCTTTAAAATCTGCACTTACACTAATTTAATTATTACAAGAGTCTCAAGGTTTAATACGTTCTAAGATGGATGAACTTTTTAAATTATGTTTGGGTTATGACGACCTCTGGTGGTGTCTTGCCTGTGGTGTGAATGTTTTTACAGTGAAACTTAAGAAATATGGCACGCCATCTAATGGCGGGTCGACAAACCACCTTTATGGTTACAATATTGTCAATGAAAAATGTGACCTATCTACCAAACTATCCACAATTTTGGTACACATTTAGATTTTGGACAGTCCTATATACATATATAATGTATATAATTGAGTTTTTTTAATAAATCTGCAGGTCACCATATTCTTAAATTTAGATAATGTATTAAATTGCATAAGGGGAGTGTAATTGGTGATACAGCACTGTTCTAAATCTCAATTTCTCAATAGGTCTCTGTATGTTTGCACATTTTACGCTTTGGTAAATTGAGTATTACCCATTCATTTTTTTTTCATTCATGTAAAACCTGCATTCACAACCAACTTAACGCCCATCCCTCCTGTGCTCAATACATGTTCTCGTGGCCCCTCCCTCTCATCCTGAGGCTGGATACGGCTCTGCCCGGCTCGGCGCTCCCTCCTCCCTGTCATCTGCGGCTGTGCTGGAGAGAGCGGGGATGTCTCCACAGCGTGCACCGGCATAATGCGCAAATGAATCGGGCAAGCGACTTTTCAGTTACATTGAGAGAGATGAACTCATAAAAAAGAGCTCAAATCCACAAAATGCCCAAGTCTAGCGATGTAATCAGTTTCATTTTTGCTGCAGAGACGACTGACATGCTAAGCCCCGGATTCAAACTACCAAACCACCGAGGCATGAACTGACATTACTTTCTGAGGTAAGACATCACTAAACACAACGATATTGGACAGGCATTTTTCTAAATTGCATTAAAACCTGGCTATGAATTCTAGTACTATGACTGAGTTCTGGGGTGTACTAGTCTAATAGGCTGCAACAGCATCTTGTCTATTGGTGGACAAAAGCTAGATGCTGAGCTGTGATTGGTTGTTGGTAATGTCTGTCATGTGGTCTGCTGTGTTCTCCAGTCATCATATGGCCTCATGATTAGGGCTGTTTAGCAATGTAGGCTATATAGTAAGGCGTGGTTCAGATGACATGAAGCTGAGTAGTTAGGAGGGAAATGACAGGGCAAAACTAAATAAATTTGCCAACATGATACATTTATCATTTTATTATACATTGGTACAATTGAACATTTTAGGTATTGCTCTTGTATGTTACTCTATATGCAGACTACACTTGAAAAAAATTAAGACAAGAAAGCAGCAACTGTTAAGTTAAAAACATACATTGCCAGATTCTGACTTAGCCATATTATACTCAGTCATGCACCGTGCACAGCAGTGAGCTGTAGGAAACAGTCATATGATGCTGGTCAGGCTTAAAATATTAGAGAGTGAGACTAAAGCAGTAAAAACATTCAATAACAAATCCTGTCACTGTGTTCAGTGATGTTTCCAACACATCAGGAGAAGTACTGAAATCAATTATAATTTTTATAATTAAAATTTAATGAAAAAGACACAATTTTAATCAAATTTCAAATAGAAGAAAACAGAGAAAAACACTTTGAAATGTTCTGTAGCCGATTAAAATATAAAGTCCAAAACAGAACCCAGCATTATTTTCCCAATATTTGATAGAAATGTGTTTTTAGGAGGCTGACCTGACACTGATTACAAAGAGTGTTCATGGTCAGGAGCTGATTGAGTGGTTCTATTAAATTCTCCACAAAATGTTTCCAGTGTGATTTAGATGATGGAGCTTCTTTCCCTGGGCAGAATAAAACATCTCCTAAGGTGTCTTTCATGTCTGTTATTTTGGATTATGCAGGTTACATTTTCCTCATCAAAATATAGGGCTTTGCCTCATTTTCCCACGTCACAGATGCTTTCACAAGTGACTTTTTCATCAATGGCTCATCCTGCCAAGTCTGTATTTAACAAGATGTTATCATCGTCTTTAATTTAGATTTTATGTTTTTAGGTTTACCCAAGGCTTGTCTCTAAACTGGACGCAACAAGAGCAAAGCAAAGCTACAAGAGAAGCTGTGAAAAGCAGACCAAGTGACTTTTGGTCTAATCACCGTCATACACAATGTACTCCCCTCAGAGCCTTCACCGCTGGGGCATCACTCACAGTGAAAGCATGGAGAGATTGGCTTACAGTCAAGGTATGTGTCAACAGAAATATTGGTTTAATCTGACCTACTTTCTCTGTCTTAGTCCAAGATGAACAGAAAAGTTTGTGATATAAGTACATATATTTTGTAAAGAAAAACATGTGGCTTGGGGGAAAGAATTTAAGGACGACATTCTACCCCTTTGAGCTTTTTTTTAAAATATACCCCATTTCTTATTACAAGCCTACCATTTTAGTCTATTTAAGAATTTATCCTGATACAGATCATAGAATAACTAGTAAATGGTCACATCTATATAATGCTCTACTTTCAAAACACCCAAATCATTTTACATCAAGGAACCACTCACCCATTCATACATATTCATACACCAGCATATGCAGACACTCGGGGTGAAATTCTTTAAGAGTCTTGCCTATGGACACAACAACAGTACACATGCATTCATCTGTGGAAGTTAGGACGCAACCACCATCCTGTGGGCCAGTGTGGTTCAGCAACAATATTTACCAACTGAGCTACTGTCTCTCATAGGCTTAGACTTAGACTTAGAGACACTTTATTGACTCAAGGGAAATTATTTGGACACAGTAGCTCACACATCACGATATATAATGATAACAAAGAGCAAAAAATAAATGGTTATGACAAATTCAAAATAAGTAGCAAAAATAAGTAAAAGGGACATTGGGCAGATTGACAAACTGATCCATAAAGCTGGATACATGATCGGCTGTGAGGCGGAGGTATTTGTCACAGTGAGGGACAGGAGGACACTGGACAAACTGCTCTCCATCATGGACACTCCTGCTCACCCACTGCACCAGACTGTAGAGGGACAGATAATACTCCCTACAACAGTACAACATCTCACCTACTGCACCAGACTATAGAGGGACAGCAGAGTTCATTCTCCAGCAGGCTCCTACATCTCCACTCAAACAGTGAGAGATACAGGACTCCATTCTCCATACTCCATACAACTGTACAACAGCTCACCTTTATGTAACAGATAATACTCCCTACAACTGAACAACAACTCACTCTTATGTCCAAATAATTTCCCTTTTCCCTTCCCGTGGATCAATAAAGTTTGTCGAAGTCTAAGTCTAATTCTAAAAAAAAAAAATGCAAGAAACTGGTGTCAAATAAGGCATAATTATATAAATGTTGACACAAGTCTCTCTATTTTTATGCTTCTTTTTTTTATATATATAAATTTTTTAATTGGGTAACTACATTAAATCAGGCCTATAACATTCAGAGTTGTTACTCCAATTACGTGTGGCCCGTGTGTGAAGATGTAATCTCCCATGCCGCCACCAGAGGCCGCTAGTGACCAAACTGTAGTGATTACGTAGTGCTTATCTTTTGTGTCTTGCTCTGGGCCGCTCTCGTGAGCCTCTGACACCGCCCCTCTGGTGGTGGGAGCAGCGGTACCGTCAGAGGGCAACTATTGCTTTGGACTGCGCGCTGTAAACAAACCCCAAATCCACGATGTCCAGGAAATCGGATTTTTCCCCGGTTGCAGAGGCGGTAAGCGGAACGAGTTTTCGCCATGTAGCTGCCTGACGCCTACGCTTCGGTGTCCGCGTTTGTATTTTTGACACTATCCTGCAGACCTGTCATTGTTTTTACCGGTGATCTAATCTCGGAGCGTTGTTATGTGGGTCTGCAGCTTGATTTTTTTACTCCGTTGCCGCTGAGATTGGCGTGTGCAATGCTGTAACTGCGATCCAGAGTCCAGAGGTACACCAACATGGCATCGTCCGCTGAGCACGACTTGTCTTTGGCTGAAGCGGACGGCAACAAGGAAAAGTCTCAGGTGTTTGGGATTTTGAGGCTGCAGGAGGATAAATCTGGAGGTGTGGATAAGGCCAACAGCAGCAGTAGCAGCAGTGCCAGTGCGAGAGGTTCAGGAGACGGGCGATGGCAGGCTCCTATCTTTGCTTTGGCCAGGAAAGCATCCGAGACCATTTCAGGGAGTATTCACGTCCTGCCCAAAGTGTCGGAGCACAGGACGTCTCTACCTGGGGAGTGGACTATGCAAGGTACAGCGTAAACAAAGAGCTGTTTCGACGTTCACTGGTTTATTATAAATGTTCTTGAATGCGTCTTAATTTGATATAACATGACATCACCAGTCTCTGTGTAACCAATTGATTTTCCATCGTGCTCTCATGAGATGCTCTCATCCGCTGTCCCTGGTGGCTACACAGCCCTGCAGATCACATGTGGCTTTTATGTAGAAGTACAAAGACAGTATATGTCTTTGTGTGTCGTGCTTTGTGCTCTATAGGCCTCTGGTATGCTTAAAATATTCAACAATATTAATATTCAATACACAACATCTGCTAAAGTTGTCCTTTTGCCTTCTACCTTTTAGAATGCAAAACTGTGGACCATTACAGAGAGTGTGCTATAGGTGCATCTCACAAAGTTCATTCGAGCTAATCATCAGTATTGTTCATATACACATCAACTACTGTATAGCCAGTGTACCATTACCAAGCAAAAAAGTTTGAAAGGTATAATTGTCAAAATGTATAAATAAATAAAAAATGTGTTTCCATTCTGCAGTGGAGGAAAGAGTATGCAAAGGTCAAATAATTAAATAGTTTAAAGCTGAATAAAGTTGCTGTAAACCACAATTTCCATAGTTTTTAATATTCATTTACAAGTGCATGTTTGAAAGTCTGTCCAATTATCATATACTTGTTTATTTGATATCAATACTTGTAACTGGTTTCTTTTCACCCCTGCCATACTATGTGTAAGTGTATAATAAAACTGTACTTACAATCACTCAGGACTCACAGTTGTTTTGTTTGTGATTTTCCTGTCTCTCTGCAGCCTTCCGTGACCCGATGGCCATGGAGCGCGCTAACCTGTTGAATATGGCCAAGCTGAGCATCAAGGGTCTGATTGAGTCTGCGCTGAGCTTCGGGAGGACCCTGGACTCAGACTATCCCCCTCTGCAGCAGTTCTTCGTTGTCATGGAGCACTGCCTCAAACATGGCCTTAAAGGTAAACATGTCAGAATATGGTTCATTAGCCTCAGATGTGAACTAGCTGTTTTCTTACAATAAAAATCAGTTTATAGCGTCTAAAAATACCTTTTGCACATTTTCAGTGAAGAAGTCTTTCCTGGGCTTTAACAAGTCTCTGTGGGGTCCTCTTGAGTTGGTAGAAAAACTGTGCCCTGAAGCAGCAGAGATCTCGGCATCAGTGCGAGACCTTCCAGGACTTAAGTAAGCCTCTGTATTACAGCCGTGTTTACTATTCACATGCGGCCAGAGTATCTCTAGAATGTGACCAGAGAAAGAAAGCACCCGTTTTACTTTCACTTTAACAATCCTGCTCAGGCCTGTGAGCAACATGCGCAATATTATTTGAGCCATCTGTGATTACTGGGGAATGCCTGGAACCATACATACATCTGTATTTAGTTTTACAGTAATTAAGAGTGTATTCATAATATTACTGTTTCAAAAACAAAACCATACTTGTATCATTTACAAACCCATATCAATGAATCAGGTGATTTTTAGTTTCTATCACATGGGCCAAATGAGGAACAGTTGTAAAGTCGATGATGGAAACATCATTGTTTCCTTTGGGGCTGCTGAGTCAGGCCAGCTTCCTTGTGACGAACAGGTTTTAACTTTTAAACTGGCTACTTACAGAATGTGCCTGAAAACAAATTATAGCCTGTAGTTCAAAATAAAAAATCACTGTTACTGATCCAATAGGTGTAATGGTATGGTGCTAAAGTGTTGCTTTACACAGATTTAGTGTGCGTTGCCATGAGTGCAATATCTGCTCTATTTCCATTGCGTTGAATCTGATTATGTTTGTGCTGCACAGGACTCCACTGGGAAGAGCTAGAGCCTGGCTGCGCTTGGCTCTGATGCAGAAGCGGCTGGCCGACTATCTGCGTTTACTCATCACTCGGAAGGATCTGCTCAGGTACACCAACAGAGCATCACAAACTAATAAATAAATTATAATAAATAAATAGCATGTATTTGACTGGTCTTTGCTTTTTAGTGACTTCTATGAGAATTCAGCCCTGATGCTGGAGGAGGAGGGTGCAGTAATAGTCGGCCTGCTGGTGGGCCTTAATGTCATAGATGCCAATCTTTGTGTCAAAGGCGAGGACCTGGATACACAGGTAACTGTCTGTGTACTTAAAATGTTACTTTGAATCAACAGATGAAATCTTGGACATTTATTTTTTCAGGTTAACTACATTAACTCTTAGTGAGCTCTGGGGAAATTCTTTCATGTTGTATTTTTTTTAATTGTCCCATAGGTTGGTGTAATAGACTTCTCCATGTACTTGAAGAGTGATATTGATGACTACAGGAGCGAGGAGAGGTATGCACACACAGCGCGCACACTCTCTGTCTCTGTCTGGGCTAAAACTGTAACTCTAGTCCCTCTGTTTCCTTGACAACAGGAATAGCCAGATAGCAACGATACTGGACCAAAAGAACTACATTGAAGAGCTGAACCGGCAGCTCAAGTAAGGAACCACTAAAGCCCCGTAGGTGTTATGTAATTTCATTCATTTCTGTAATATGGTGTCTCATTTGTCTTCATTAGCACAACTGTACACAGTCTACAGGGCAGAGTAGATTCATTAGAGAAATCAAACTCTAAACTCATTGAAGAGGTAAGAAAGCGCAAAAACACTACTGAGGAGAGGGTTGAAATGTCCAAAGAATATTCAAATTTTTAATGACATCTTTTTATTTGTCTTCACGCAGTTAGCCATTGCAAAAAACAATATTATCAAACTACAGGAGGAAAACCAGCAGCTAAGGAGTGAAAACAGTCTAATATTACTGAAGGCACAGCAGCACTTAGAGGTAAGAGCATAAATAAACAACAGAAACACTGAAAGAGAATTGAGAGCTCTGATCCCATGTTGTTTTTTAAGGTAACCCAGGGTGATGTCTCGGTGGAGAGAGACACTTACAAACAGTCTCGTCAGGGTTTGGATGAAATGTACAATGAAGCTCGGAGACAACTGAAAGAGGAGTGCCAGCTCAGACAGGTCACACCAAAGCAGCTTTGTCAGAAACCGTTTATTTAGTAAAACCCTTTAGCATGTATTTTGAACATGTTTCTTTCTCTTAAGGATGTGGAAAATGAGTTGGTGGCCCAGGTGTCAATGAAGCAGGAGATGGAGCTGGCAATGAAACTTCTAGAAAAAGACATTCATGAAAAACAGGTACTGAAACTAAAATGTTGTGTTATATAAAGCAGTAAAAATTATATTTGTACAAAGTAGTAAAGGGGCCATATTATGCTGTTTTCTGATTTATGTTATAAAGTTTCCTCATCACAAACATACCTAGTGTTGTGTTTGTTTCATTCACACGTTAAACAAAAAAATAAAAATAAAACACTCCACTTTGTGATGTTATGTGGTAATGCAAGAAGTGCTCCACCTCCATACACCTTCACTAGAATCACTTGGATTATTTCAGGCCTGGAAGTGCCAATCTCTACTGAACTAAAGGTAAAAGGTAGCTGTTAACTTTAAAACTACCATCTCATGACATCACAAAGTGGAACAGAGCATTTTGAGCTTTGGAGATGTAGACAGACTAATAATAAAGGATTCCTCAAACGTGTGAATGAAACTAAACACAACTTTTTTGAGAAGTTAACAACATTTTAACGTGGCTTAAAGCTCACAAGAATCATTTTTGTGTAAAATTGGACCTTTGATAACTATAACATTTAATTTTTATTTTATTTGTTCATAGGACACGCTGATTGGTCTGAGGCATCAATTAGATGAGGTGAAGGCCATTAATGTTGAGATGTACCAGAAGATGCAGGTATGGATTTGAACAGTGTAGCTCATATAATTTAGCCTAATCTGCAAAAGTGCAAATCCATCTGTAATGTGGGAATAATTTTGACTCAGACTTCTGACGATGAGATGAAGAAAAAGAATGACATGATCAGCCGACTAGAAGAAAAGACCAATCAAATCACTGCCACCATGAAACAACTGGAGCAAAGGTGAGGAATGTGGGGACTATTTTCAACCCCCTTTTGAAAGCCCCATGATGCAGTTAGTGTTTATAATTCATAAACACACATATCAAAATTGGTTCAGGAACAATGAAAGCATGCACCATTTGTGAGTTTCATTTGGGTTGCTTGTACCTGTAATGTAATGCTTGGTCATTGAAGCCTTGTGAGCCCTCTCATCCCACTTCACCCTCCCATCCCACCTACATTGATTTAGTGATTTATTCATCATGTGTCTATAAATGTTTAAAAGTTATATTCATGTTTAATTATATTGAAATAATTTAGTTAGGTGCATACATTTAATAGAATTTTACAATGATCACTTATGGCATCCTCCATTTTCCTCCTCATTTAACTCTATTGAGATATAAAGTAAGACGTTATGGGAGATTAGTTGTGTATTGACAGTCTTTCTTCCTTCTTTTCCTCTTTTCTTCTGCTCTCTGTCCATTGGCTTTGACCCATTCTTCATTCATCTTTTCATTTTGATCACTTCATACCTCATAATTCAACCCATCTTTCTGCTCTGTGCAGTGACAAAGATCTTTTAAGTCAGACGAGAACACTCGCTATGTCATTTGTCAAGTGTGCCAGCACAGACACAGAGCATCAGTACAAACTGGTCAAGGACATTTCCTTCTGAAGTTTGCTAATAGACCCCATTTACTTTTAACTAGTCATTTGTGTTTTCTAGCACAATTTTGGTTTAGAGCCGAAAGATTATTTATATTTTTTATGTATGTGTTACTTAGACTTAGTAGCACATAAAGGTCCAAAGAGCAGAGGACCATGTATACTCATTTTATTCAAACACCTAACCATATTGTCATATCATATTATGTGATATTGTTGAAAATGTTAAAATACTAACCCAGACTCCTGTACAGTGCAATAATGTGTTCATTTTTAACCACAGTACAGTACGTTAAACCTACTCTTTTTCAAGTTGACCGTTGACACAAAGCTAACCCCTGAGCAGTAGTGATATACTTGACTAGCTTAAGCATCAGTGAGGCACTTGTCCACTGGTAATGAATGAACCACTAACTGACCTTAAAGGGGTTTTCTGTACGTTTTTAGGAGGACTTGAAACCTTCTCCTTTCTCTATGGAGATGTTGTTGTTTTGCCTGGAATATTCTACAAAAAAAACATAAGTGATATACTCCACTTAATCAAGTATGTATTTGGAAATAAAAATAATTGAATAAATGTAATTGAATAAATACAATAAAATTTATTCCAATAACAATAGCAATAACATTTTCATGAGACAAGCAGGTAATGGAAAATCTTGTGCAGCAAGATTCAGTCTCATTATATTTGTGAGCTCAAACTCACTACAAATATGAATCTTGGGTTGGTCATGTTAGGGGACTGACCCTCCACCAGAAAACTTACGTAGTGCACCTTTAAACTCTAAGTAGGCATTTTAGTGCTTTATCTTTTGCCTAGTAACAGGTCATCACCAGGTCCTGCATGTCACCACGTGCACTTTGCTGAACAGCTTGGTTGGACTGGAGTCCTCGTGTGAGGCCTCGTGCTTGGGTTTACGCTGCATGTGTGTGATCAGCTCTGCCTTTACCCCCCATTGGTTTGAACTGTAAATGTTAAATGAACATAACAGGACTAAAATATTTGTTTAATATACAACTGGGATAGTAAGTTGAACTTGTGAATCATTTGTACTGGAAAACTGCGTACTATAAACATTTAATCAGGGGATACAGGATGTGAATGTGTGTTTGTGGCATTTTAAATCTGTATTAGAAGTAACCATTCTACTCATGTACTTCTCCCTGAAACTTTTTTGAAGAGATACCCCCTAGTTAATAATAATGTTGTTTAACATGCTAATACTGTCTGTCACGCACCATGATCAATAAAATTAGTTGTTTTAAGTTGTTGGATTTTTTTGGCATTTTTAAAAATAATAATTATTTATATAACAACACTGAGAACAACTATGTGGCTGGGGGAATTTCTTGAACTTATATATTCACCTTTCAAATCAGGAAAATTATAATTGTCCTTTTGCATTTTCACATTTACCATCTTCAACTGCATCCTCATCCTCTGTTCATTTTTACTTTGTCATTATTCTTTTTGACATCCTCTTCCACATTTGAGTTTTTCTCTCCATGGTCCTGAGTTTGTTCCTGGTTATAATGGTGCAGATTACAGGAGGCTGAGAGGCATCGCACCTCCGCCGAAGAGGGAACCAGGCGCTTCAAGCTGGACTTTGCCAACAAAGCTGACAGCCTGCAACGGCAGATTGCACAGAGGGAGAAACAACTGTAAGAAACCAATTATATAACTAATGAAATGTTAACAGTTCCATTTGGTTTTAAGCAGTGACTGAAATAAAATGCTGTATATGATTGTTTTGATGTTTGATGTTTTGTGTGATGTTATTTCACAGACAGCAGCTGGAGACTGACCTAAAGATTGAGAGGGAGTGGAGGCAGACACTACAAAATGATCTGCACAGAGAAAAGGACACTGTAGCTCAGCTCGGCGCAGAGGCTCTACAGATAAATGGTTTAAAAAAGGTAGAAAATAATACATTTTAAATAATCATTTTATCTTGTGTAGTTGTAGTCCATGTGACTGATACATTGTTTGCTTTTACATTTAGGAGTTTCATCGTCTTCAGGATGAAAACATTCAGCTAAAGTCGATCTGTGAAGATCAGGAGCAGGCACTTGAGGAACTCGGCTCTAAACTTAGCGAGTATGTTTAATTTATTTTACTTCTTTTTTCTTTTAATATGGCTAATTTGAATTCCTCAATTGATTATAATTCCAGATCTAAATTGAAGATTGAAGACATTAAGGAGGCCAACAAAGCCCTCCAGGTAAAGCCACTATTTTAACATACATGCTTATGCCAAATAGAGAAGGAGCATCATTAAGTAAATTGGCTGAATTTTTTTAGGGTGGTCAGGTTTGGCTGAAGGACAAAGATGCCACTCACTGTAAGCTCTGTGAGAAAGAGTTTTCCATCTCCAGACGAAAGGCAAGTTTTCACACTTCCTCTCTACACCATGTATAATATTTTATTTAAATGTGTTTGTTTGTTTGCAGCATCACTGTAGAAACTGTGGAGAGATTTTCTGTAACAGTTGCTCTGACAACGAGCTGCCTCTGCCCGCCTCGCCCAAACCGGTGCGAGTGTGTGACACGTGCCACGCCCTCCTCCTCCAACGCTGCTCCTCCAACACCACATAAAGCAGACAGGGAACCATCTCTACCCTCAACTCAGATACTACAAGATATCATTTAACTGTACCAACGCTGCTATGAATGCATGGACAAGCCACTTCTGTATTATATTTATTTATTCGAACTCTCGCTGCATTCATAACCATATTCCATAACATGGACCTATTTTTAAGCACCATAAACTACTATTCAGGTGTTTTTCACATTAAGTCTTAAATTTCTACCAACATAAACAACAAAATTATTGCATAAAATATTACTAGTTTGTCAGCTAAAGCATTTGCTAGAAACGGATCAACGTTTTAGACAGAAAAAAAACATATTATACCATATTTTACATTTTGTGCCATATTAGAGTCTACTTATTATAATTTTTATGACATTAAGAGTAGATCAATTTGTCACCCGCCACAGGACCAGACAATTTTACATTATTAACACTATATTAGCAAAATGGTCCATGTTAAAAACATTTCAAAATAGTGGTGCTGAAAGGACCAGGACTATTGAGTAACTTATTGCCACAAACGGACAATTTCAATCAGTGAGAAGAGACTTGAGGCACTGACCATGATTCCCCATGTGCCATTTAAATATTAAATTGTGTATATATTTTTAAGCACAATGTTAAGTGAGGTTTTATCTGATAATTTAAGAACCACTTTGTACTGCTGCTGCAAACAGGAGGGTTTTGAACTGCCTAAAATGTCTTTAATATTCTACTGCAGATAGTTTACATTTTTTTTGTTTTTGTCTTTTTACATGGCCTATGTTCAGCATGATTCTGAATGAGGCCAGGCTGATGGTTTACTTTCATTACTTCTACTGTAATCATAACAGATTTGTTCAGTACAATCTGATCATTACTGTGGCCTTTTGCTGGATACATTCTGCCAATGATGTTTGCCAAGAAAATTAACTGTGTAGCAATCTGATTAAAGTCACATTTGTAAGTAAACACTTTGTCTGCATAGTATCTTGCATTACGAGACTTCAAATCTAAAACAAAAACCTGAGGCAGGAAATGAGAATTAAATATAAAATTTAATATGCAAATGTACAACAGCTGCATTACCATCTTACAGCTGAAATATAAACACTTTTTTTTTTTTTTACTTCTGCTCTTCAAGAGCAGAATACAATATTAAACTTAAATCATTTAATGAACTTTCAAAACATTCATAAAACACAGGCTCACATTCATCTTATTAGGTCATTAGCTGATCTGAAATCAGAATAACAGCGGACTTTGACCAAAAACTAAACATACACCACCTCACAACAAACTTAAATACATTTGTGTTTAAAAAAATAACTTAATTACAAAACAAATTGCTTTAAATTTATGTTAAAGTTACATGTGTCTAAAACACCAAAAGCTACTTTTCAATATAAGCTTCAATGTTTTCCATATTAGTTACGTTCACTTGGGGTCAGTGATGTCAGATCAGCTCTAGAAAAATGTGGCCAAAGAAGATGCAACACAAAAGATGGATAGACTCAAACAGGAGGAAGAATCAGTATCCCGATCGTAGACCGCTCCGAGAGTTACCGTAGTAACCACCGCCTCGGCCTGAGGAGGATCAGAGGTGATATCGGCAACGCACCGTGCATATATTTGAATGTACACATGCACTTTTGAGAAAATTTTAACTTACTTGTTTCAGCTGTGCCACTTGCAGTTGAGTTGAGGAAAAGTTCAATATAGCGATGCTCTGTGAGAAGAAAAAATATATAAATATATATTTAGCCTACAAATATAAAAGGTTACAGGTAAAATGATACTGTCAAAAAAGAACTGACGCATGTGGTTTTTGTCTTTGGACATTGCAGCAACTGCATCTTCATGTGAGCGAAACTCGACATCTGCCTCTCCAGTCGCTTTGCCATTGGGAGCCACGTCAATGTGAACCCTCAGAGGATTCAATGGTGCAAAAAACTAAAAATACAACAGAGCATGTGAGGCAAGACAAATGTTGCCTTTCCTAACTCCAAAAATTGATATATAGCTAAATATGTTAAAAGACGCCATGTTTGCTCCTTTGCATTTTTGGAATAAACTCTAGACATTTGTTCTTACCTTTGCTATATCTCCCTCTGTTGCACGGAAAGGCAGTCCCCTCATGTGGACAAAATGGCCACTGTGGAAGCCAGAGCCACCATCACCTTGACCATGGCCTCCCAGACCTAATGAGAAACAAAACAACTACTGTACACAAATCAAAACAAAAAAAAACATACTCAAATAAAGAGAGTAACTTACCTCTTCCACCTCTGTCTCCTCTGCCTCGATCGTCAAACATCCCATTGCCAAAACAATAATTATTGAATCCGTTGTAGTTGTCAAACCCTCCATAACCTAAGAAAAATAAAAGAGGCTTTGTTCTTAACTACATGCAAAGGTTTCATGTGAAGCAAGCCTTGAAAGGTCAAGATTTAAAAACACCACAAATCATACCTCCACCATAACCCCCACCACCTCTAATATTATCCATCAGGGCACCTCCCCGTCCAGGGCTTGGACCGAAGAAACCTCCCCTGGGCCCAGTCATCACTGGTCTATCATAGGGTCCAGGCCGTTGTCCTCCCAGACCCCTCCGAGGTACCTCATAGTAGGCTCGGATCTCATTACGGCTGCTTTTGAAGATCTCTATGTACCTGTAACACGAGGCATGGGCCATAGAGGGGGCATGGTCAACAGGAGCAATGATCCACTCCCTTTACATATATTGTACAAAAACATCAGAAAGATTGTAACCCAAAACATCTTTCCCTATGATTAATTATAATCAATCTTTCACTGTAATTAAATTAGTAGAGCAAATGGTAATTTAACCATCACTCACAAGGACTATAAAATAACATTGAAATACAAAAAATACCCCTTTCCTTACCACTAGCAACTTTATTTGTATTTGAAGTATTCTGTAATTGAATTAAACAAATAGTTTCAACATATTAAAATAAATTAACATAGCCCCCTTAAACTAGTTGCATTTATCAAGACGTTTTAACAGAAGCCCAAACAGTCCAGCCCGTCCCGATCCCGTCTGTCCCACCTGTGCCCTATTCTTTCCTTGTGTTTCCCCAGAGCCTTTTCTGCTATCTCCTTTGAGGCAAACTGCACGAAGGCTTCCCCTGTGCTCCTCCCCTGGTAGTCCACTGGCAGAGTAATCCCATTTGGCACGATTCTCAACCCTTCAACCCAAGCACACATAAATACATTGGTCGGTAGATAGTCTGGTAAAATTTAAAAGAAAAATCAAACCCACATATCACTGGTGACAACTACTACATGATAGATAATTAGTGATTTACTGAGAATGAGGTATAGCGTAATGATGAATGAAGTTGCATGAGTTTGAACTAAACACCCACAGCAAACACTATTTTGAGTATTTTGCCTTTTATGTGAGTGTCCCTAGTTTCTTTTTAATAGTAATGAACATTCACATTTAGTGAGGTGTTCAGTCTTCATTTTAACTAGTTTTATTTGCACTTTGATCACAGCATAGAGGGGCAAATATATTCATGCTGGAATACCTGAGAAGAACTGAACTATTTCCTCCTTGCTACATCCAAATGGAAGGCCTCGCAGTCGCAGCATACAACCGCTGCAGCTGTCATAGTCGGCAGGACCACAGCGCTTCAGCACCCAGTGCATCTCACTAAGATTTGACTTGAAAACTGAAATACACACAGAACAATGTTATTACATGAAATAAAAGACAATGACTTTAATATACTTGTGTGCATGATTTACCTTCTATGTACCTGTGCCCCATGTATTTTCTGTCTTTGGCAAGAGCATTTTTGAAGTCTTCTGCAGATTTTAGTTCAATAAATGCTTCTCCACTGGGACGACCTTCTTTGGAGTAAGTGAAACACACCCCATTGACTTGACCTACAATGTCACAATCTAATACAATTCAGAGGGGGGAAAAAACTTTAAACAAAGTCTTCAGATTCATTATTCTGTTGTACCCTTGTGTAAACACGCAGATAGTGTCACCTGAAAAGAAACTGGCCACTTCTTCTTGAGTGCAGGACCAAGGTAATCCTCTGATCCTCACCACGTACCCCTCCTCGTTTACAGACATCCTCCTACCACAGCAAAGACAGAAGCTCGTGTCAAAGAAGCCCAGTACACACCAGACCTGGGCAAACATTTCTGAACACAAATGAACGTGAGGTGCACTGACACAACAGCGTCACTTACTTCCTACTAGTTATTTGAAAACGCTCGCTACCTTCTGAAATCCAGAGGAAGCAGTCTCTGTATTCAGGCACGTCCACAATTACGAAACGAATACTCAGTGGGGTCTTTTTTAGGACTTGCATGCAAATTATACACTAATTTCTCTGAGTTGATGCATTAATTTCACACAAACTACCATTAGCATTACCAGCTAACATCTGAGGCTAACTGTAGGACAAGACAGCGGTCAAATGAACAGTCCAAACTACACAAGGGTTGAACAGTAACATAGCCAAAAAAGTATTGCATTTAATCATTAATAAAGAGCACGATAAAATATAATAACGACATCGGTTACATAGTAAGTTATTTACAGACAATCGACTTACTACCGGTCTCCTCCGATCACCTCCTGCAGAGCGATAAGAAACCAGGGCTGGTATCGCGAGATTTAGAGTGCATGTTATTATATTTTTTACAAAAATCATTGAGCTGTAATAAAACCAACAATAATTTTAGTTTACCTGTAAGACAACATAAAGAAAATGCACAATGACGATGGTGGGTTACACAAACTTTTATCTATTCTTGATAACAAAACATATGTGAACTGTACATAATAACATATGTGTTAGAAAATAACACTATAATGCCAATTTTCTCACGGCAATCCAGCAATAAAAATGCTAAACCACTGCATAAACAGCTGGACTCATAACCATACAAATGAATGTCTGTCAGACTCATTGGGTTAGCGCAGTTCTGGTGCGTTCAAAGTCCATTGAAAACTGTGACACTTTGCTTGTGTCACTCACTCACTCACCATTGTTAAGACAACAGGCAACAACAATCCATCGTCAGGCCACCACAGGTTTGATTCATTACCAAAATGGAGATTCCAGTTTATACATTGGATGCTTTCACCAGCATACCCTTTAAGGGCAACCCTGCAGCAGTCTGTCCTCTACAACATGTGAGTACATTTCTTACAAAAGATTTGGACAGCTTTTCCCCCAGCACTGTTTAACCTGGGCTTAGTGCAACGTGTTTTTATCCAAATTGTAAATATTATCACAGGAGCTGAGTGATGAAATGTACCAGAAGATCTCAGCAGAAATGAACTTGTCAGAAACAGCTTTTATTATCAAACTGAATCCATCTGATAACTTCACTACAGGTGAGTCAGTCAACGTATTTATAGGCTTTTTATATCCATAATGTGGTCCAACTATGTTCCTGCATAACTTAACTGAATAGAATTACTTATCAGATAGCCTACATATGTGTGCTACTCGGGATTTACTACTTAGTCTATTTAGTTTGGATTCTTGTGGGGCAGTTGAATGTCTCTAAGGTCATTCATAGACACTATTTGCACAAACTAAACTCCTGTCCTCAGCATTCTGAATCCTCACTCTAAACAATGTGAAACATATAGAGCTAAGACTTGCATTGTTGGAAAGTGGGAGAACAATGCAATGAACCCATTTTAAAGCCACCATTTTCTACTTTTTGTTTCACAAACACACAGAGAGCATTCTGTCAGACTGCACACCATGAGATTACTGAAAAATATATGATAGGGGAAAAAAAAGTTTTACACAACAATAACACAGTTTTTTAATAGGGTCAAGGTTTCGTCTACGATGGTTCACACCAACCACTGAAGTGAATTTATGTGGACACGCCACTCTGGCCACTGCAAGAGTATTGTTCCAGTATGAAAGTAAGTTTCAACATGTGTACAAAATATAATTAATGACAATGAAGCTGAGAACCCCACTAACTTTCATAGAAAACGTAAACAACAAACTGGTGTTTGAGACCAGAAGCGGAGAGCTGTGGGTTACCCGCTATGGGGACAATTGTGTCATGGATTTTCCTCTCAACCCCGCAAGCCCTGCAGTAAGTTTATTCACACAAAGCCTGAGGCAATAACTCAAAATTTACTCAAATGCAACATTTTGTTTTTTAGGATCCAAATGAGTTCAGAGACATAATTAAAGTATGTGGTATAAATATCTAAAATTAATGAATTTTGTGAAATATTTGTTGTACATTTGTTATCATTATGTGTATTTAACAGGCAGCTGTAGGAAGCCTCCCAGTACAGGAGGTATACTTGAGTGCAAAGACAAAGAAACTCCTGATTCGACTGGCGGACAAATGTGATAGGTAACTACATTTCATTTGATGTGAGTATTTTAATGTCAAATGTATCATGTTAATAGCAAACTAATGCTTGTGATTGCACTGACATAGATCAGAGTTATGCAACATAAAGATTGATCCCATTGCTCTGCAAAGAAGTGACACAACTGGAAAAGTCAAAGGCGTCATTGTTACAATAATAGGTAAGCCTTACACAGAAGAACAGTCTACCAATACAGATATGATCATCTCATGTTCGACAACAGGATCTCCAAATGAACAACCAGGATATGATTTCTACTCCAGATATTTTGCTCCATGGTTTGGAATCACAGAGGATCCCGTCACTGGTAAAGTCAAAGTACCAGCTAAATATGTGTATATAAACTGCCCCACCTGTAACACTGTTTGTTTTGGCAGGTTCGGCCCACACAGTCTTGGGGAGCTATTGGGCTGAGAAACTAGGAAAACACAAATTACTCGGTAATAAAAACTAACAACAACTTTTTTTACATATTTTCCAGTTATATTATAAGAGTGGTACTTTTTTATTTGATTATAGCTTACCAGTGTTCTAGCAGAGGTGGAGAAATGGAGCTAGAAGTGAGAGACGATGGAAGAATCAACATATCTGGGACTACTGTTACTATAATGCGGGGAACAATCACTATATAATGAAAAGAGATGAACAAATTTGGATCTATTAAAAATGTACTACAGTAAAATATTCTCATAATTGTGAATGTGCAGAGTGCTGACAGAGGTAAAAATTACACTTGAGGCTTACATTATTTATTCAAATTTAAAATGTTAATTAAAATGTACAGTGCAAATCAACAAATTGTTTAGTAAACATTAAAAGAATGAATAAATCCATGAATGGGCATCAACCTCACCAGTCTTATTGGGTCCAAATATGTTATGAAACAAAACATGACCCTTAGTTTGTGCGCTTTCAAAAGGTGTACAAAAGGTGCTACAACTTATCTTTTATCTAAAATTATGAGGCTTTTCTGGTATTAAAATTTACAAAATCTACTAAAATAACACATGTTAAAACAGAAATGTGAGCTTATGAAATTATATGGAGGCATCAATTAAGTACCTTCAAGATAACTTAAGATAATTCACATCTTTTGGAATAATGAAGTAGCTGCCATATTGATGGTCATCATGGTCATCATAATTTTTCACAGTAAAAATCTGGGAAGGGTTTTGTGGGCAGCAGGAGGGAGCTTTATCATGTAAAATGCTGGTTAAGGAAAACCTCTGTCATTGGAATCAGCGATTGAATCAAAAGGAGACATGTTATAATTGTTTTCCCTCAGATTTTATATCTAAATAATTCATGCATGTTTGAGTAATCTAGTATTACCCTGACATTCTTGCCATTTCAGTCAGTGTTAACCAAAAATTAGCACAATTCTTTATAAAGATAATAGACTTTGACAGGTAAATTTTCAAAATGTTCAATGTAGTAAATTTTCATTCATTAAACTATGTAAACAAATATGTTTTACTCAAGTTAATTTTTATGTGACACTTTTACTCAATTCATTTTTTGCTTCTGTGTCTGTAGTTTTAAAAGCTGCATTGTCAAACTTTTCTGGAGGAGGGTCCGTGGTCCATGTCCATGTGTGTTTCTATAGACGTCACTGCTCTGCTTGGAATATACCACAGTATGACATTAAACAGCACTACCTTACATTTACTCAATTACAGGTGGTTTTATAGCTCAAAAATACTTAAAATAACAGGCATTCTGACTGAGCGGAGTTGCCTCTACACAAATCTGACCTATAACTTGGTCTGGTTTGCTTTCCATGAAGATAGAAAAGTTTAATACCATACTGTGAAACATTTCAGACAAAGTAATAACATCTCCACAGAGGAAAGCATTTGACAGACCGTCCGCCAGAAAAGTTACAGTTAAACAAAATTCAGTACCACCAGTTCAGCAGTTTACTATGACCAAAATATAAAACAATGATCTACAGCGCCACTTGTCTTTCTAAAAAAAGAGGATATCATGTTCTCTTGATGGAGATGTCTGAGCAGTTTCTCCACAGGTTCGTACCTTCGCAGTGTAGAGGCAGAGCCCACCATCAGCAGCTTGTGTTTGGCTCTGGTGATGGCCACATTTAAGCGACGCCAGTCCTTCAGCAGTTCACCTAACTAAGAAGAAAAACCAAGAGTTTTATTATGTTTCAGAATATTTACACTGAAAATAGCAACTAGGCCTGTCATGATAACTAACTTTGAAGTATGATATATTGCTGAAGTAAATATACAATAAACAGTAAGTTTAACTACTAAGTTTCTGTTTTCAGAACAAAAAATATCCTAAATATAAAATATTGCTAAAAAAAAAAAATCATGAGCTGCAATCAATAAATGGCAGAATGAAACACTTAGTAAATAGTCTGCATGTGTAATGAGTCATATAAATGATGTATGCAACCTTTTGTCTTAAATCTTATCATATATGTCAAAGAAATAACCAAAAATGTCTGAGTAGTGCAAAGTCAATATACACATGATACATTTTCGCGACAGGCCTAATTAATACCAACTTACATTTCCCTCCTCTGTAGTGCTCCTCACAAAAGAGAGCACAATTACACTCTTGTCTCGTCCTTGGTACTTGTCCACTGTATTAACTTCAACACCAATAAATGTGGATGACTGAAGCAAACCAGAGATTGATTTCAACTGCTGCCGATACGGGGCAATAACGCCGATGTCACTTGGTTTACACCCAGCCTGTGTAAAAGTGTAAATAACAAATATTTAAAGCTAAAAAGTGAAATGAAATATTAATAAATCTTGTGAATACCTTTATAAGTAGTGACAGTAGTAAATGCACAACTTCTGCCTCAGTTTGATTGCTTACACCGCCCTGCTCCACTGACTCCAAAGCTGGTACCTTGAAGAAAGACAAATAATTACTTATGTATGTGTATTAATCAATTCAAATTTTAATTTCAACCAACCACTGAACAGTCCAGGAAGCAAACAGTGTTGTCTGGTAGTAGTGCGTCTTGTATCCATGTCAGGTCATGTTGAGGGTGGCTCTTTGAGTGGGAACTGAGCTCTGATTGGACAGAGGGCAGGAAAGGCAATGTGACCTGGGCACAGGCGGTACGCTCCGAGCCACACTCCAGACGGCCTTCATACATGAGTGAATTACTGAGAGACATAATCTGCCTGAGGGGGTACAATATGTTATTTAAAATAGATTATTTTCCACTGGATTATACTACAGCGGTCCATTGATCCTGTCTGTACCTGTTCATTCTGTATTGTACATTTAGTTGGACCACTGCTTCACTGTTGCGCTCCAATCGTTTGAAGAGGCTTTCGTCCATACCTAAAGACCTATTGAAAAGCATTTATTTTCTTCTAATCAAGTCTCATCTGATCAGTGTTCATTTGCAGAAGAATGAAATATTTATAGACATACAGATAATTTAAATATAAAATTGTGTGTACCTAGCTTCATGGTTTTGCACTATTGGTGGCAGTTGTTGATGATCACCCACAAGGACAAATCTTTTTGCATAGAAAAGTGGCCCGAGGCAGACTGGCTGGCTGATTTGTGATGCTTCATCTACTATGCAAAAATCAAATTTGCGCCGGGAAAAAATTGGGTGTTTTATCCCCATACATGTTGTTGCCACAACCATCTTTAAAAAATAAATAAATAAATAAAAAAAATTTTAAAAAAAAATTAAAAAGAACAATTCAGTGTCACTGTGAGCAATAGTTTAAAAGTTAAAGAAGCAAATCTGACCTCCTTATTGTAAAGTTCTTCCAAGTCTGACAGCGTTTGAACTCCCTTTTTTCTTGCACTTTCTTCAGTGTACGGTAGAATGTCTGGATGAACCTGAAGCACAGATAGAACATTTTAAATTAAACTTGTGCATTGCAAACTCATATATGTCAAACCATACCTTTTGCCCTTGGCCCAGACGCAGAAATCCAATCCGAAAACGCTTCAGTTTCAGGAGGATGTTGTCAACAGCTGAGTGGGTGTAGCTGGTCAACAGGACACTGAACCCACATGCATGTAGTATGCGAACCTAAGATTTGTTTCATGAAATGACAGAATGATTTCCAAATAATACTGTAAAACAAGAGAACTCAAAAATATAGAATATACCCTAAATTACCAAAGTGCAAATGGTGGTGGTTTTGCCTGTGCCTGGCATCCCAACAATTAAAGTGTAATCTTTAGATAGAAGAACCTTCTTCATTGCCTGTTTTTGAGGTTTGTTGAGACCTGTAATTAATCAATTAAATAATGAATCCACAATGATAAAAAAGCCTTTTAAAATTTTCAAGTCTGACCTTTGAGAATATTTGCCACTGTGTCTTTGGCCTCTCTTGGCAGAACTGAGCTCAGGTTAGAGATGAACTCAGGTGCCCGAAAGTCAATAATCAGTTCTCTCAAACGATCACTAAAAAATAAACATATCCAAAAGTGTTTTATGCACTTGATATGGAGGTCCAGTACAACTACTTCATAATTCATTCCCCTGCACTAAAACTAGCTCACAGACCATTTACCTGTCAGGAGCGTTCTCCATGAGCCTGGACAGATTTGTGAGGTGAGTGCTCAAACCCACCACTCCTTCGTCACCGTCCATTCGAAACAAGACACTCTTAAACTTTGACACATCCCTGAAACACAAAACAGCAGCAGCACAGATAAATGTAAATGCACTACATATTTTGGCTGGACAACATGAGCTAACATTGCATATTTCCATTTATACTCACCTGTCCAGTGTACAGCTGACAAATGCACTGCTGACCTCACACACGTATCCTGTGGCTAAACCAACAAAGCGTCCTTCTTGGTCACTAAGAACTATTCGATCTCCAGAATCCAGACTACCCCCTGACCCCTGAGAGCTCCTCCTCCTGAAGTGATGCAGGTAAACACCATCAGCCTGGGTCACCACTGCACCACTGAGCTGTAGGTTTCCAATGCAACTGCCATTCTTTTCACTGTGAGAAAGCACACATCAGTTACATAGAATCAGCATTTTTGTACTCAAGTCATATTTTCCAACTTTGTTTATTGAATATTTGTAACACAACTAGATGCAATAATTAAGATATTGTGATATTATGAAGACAGTGGGTACATTTAAATGGTCAGTAAAAATCTAGAATAATCAGACAACCCAATATTAGATGTTTTGTGTCTGTAAACAGTGAACATACCAATAATCAGATCAAAAACATCAGCCGACACAGGTCAGTTAATTGGTGGAATAAATCTAAATCTTTAATATGTTCTCACTTATGTCTTTGCCAGTTTGGTTCTCTTTTTTTTTTTAAAAACAAACACATTTTACTTGGCATCATGTGAGGTGTGACAAAAAACAAAAATCAGATTGCTTACATCTGATCTGATGTAACTGTTGACATGAAGTTTCAATAATTTGATAACACCAGAAATTAGATAATTATCAGCTTTTGGTACCCAGATAAATATGGGCAGTTACAATGGACACAGCTGATTGTACTTAAGTTTTTTTAAAGATGTTTTTCCCTTTTATCCCGTCTTTTTTACTTTATTTTACCATGTCTCGATTAGTGCCTGTTACTGTTCGTTACAGTTATATACTTTTAAGTTAATGAAGTTTTGCAGATTCTGATAATATTGAATAATGCCAGTGTGTAACGTGTAACTCACCCTTCCTCAGGCGATAGCAGCCACACATTTTTTCGTCCATTTTTAGACTCCATTGTTTTCGCCTCAAGACAACAGAGCAGGAGCCAGTGGGCAAAGTATTTCAAGTGTGAGACAGTTATGTGACCAGTCTCTTGATCCAAAAAGTCACGAATGACGCTCTCTGGTAAATGCTCAGGATTACCATCTAGGGCTCTGAAATTAGACAAAGTAGGTTGAGATTGAAAAAATGTTTACTTCCAGAAATAAATGTAGTGTTAATTACGCACCTCTCATATAAAGCACAGTTTCTCCTCTGAGGACAGTACTGGCAGGTTTGTCTGTTTGATACAATATCAGGGAGTCTACTCAAATAACTTTTATCATCCTTTTTCTCAAGACTGTTATTAATGAAATGAACCAATGTATTTCTTAGCTTCACCAGCTCTGCAAAAATCCAAATTTAAAACAATAAATAAATAAATGGATAAAATCGTATGTATAGAAAATATTTATCCAACTGTATGTAAAATGTATAAAATATCATATTTTGCCATTGATAAATAAGTATACCTCTACGATCCATGTGTCCAGCTACAACAGGATGCAAGTTACCAGTTTTTAGGTAAAGTAAGAAGCCAGTGTCAGTACTGTATCTCTCAGAGCTCATCAAAGTGTAAAGAATCACCTAAAACAAATCACCATTAAACACATGGAAGGAGAAATACTTTTTCATTACTGATTAAACATTTGATATTTAACAAACCTGACTGCGGTGCTCTATAGAGTTAGACTCTTTGCCAGTTTTAAGTTCAAGGGGAACGGTTTTAATTTCTGACATTTGGTGGCTTGCATTTCGTGGTCTTTGTATAGATACTTGTGCTGTCACGTCAATTTTTCCCTTTAAGCCAAATCTTGGTGACCACACATTTTCTTCTATATCTGCAAGTTCATTAATGGTGACAGCTGTGTCCTTTGCTCTGCCATTGTTGGAGCTGAAATTTGATAATATTAAACAGAAATGAAAAAAACACAATCTATTACAACAGTAATTGTCTATGAACCTACTTTTTGTGATTTGTGATTTTTGGTTTGTGCACATCAAGGTAATCTCTTGCCCACAGCTCAAGTGAGGGCAAGTAATCATGTAGCTCCTGCTTCATCTCTTCTTGTGTTACTCCCAAACTGTACCTGCAAAATATAGGGGAATTTTAATGTAGTTTTAGTATAGTAAGTAAATCAAATTTAGATGTCCATTTTAGCAATACCTACATGTCAGCCAAATAGCGAGGACTATGCAGGGCCTGATCTCCCAGTTTAAAAAGGTTCTCTGAGGAAAAGTCTTTGGCCATGGCTGCCTTTTGGAAGACTTCATGGACCATAGTGCCATTCAGCATCTGCTTTGAACCACCATCAAATGTCTGACAGAATAAAAATAAATTTGTAAACCATACTGGAAGCAATTTGAAGAATGGGTGAAGAGTGGGGAGAGACATTCAGTGTGAATTGTCATAGAATTGGTTTCACGTTAAGCAGGGAACAGAGTATAGCATGTGAGCAGAGAACAAATACCTAGACAACAGTGCAACAAATAACAATTTTACCTTGAACATGTCACCTAGCACTGCTCTTCTCATACATCTAATGCCACTTGCAATACTTGTTCCTGAGATCAAAGTGTCTGGGTGCAACACTAAAAAGCCTCGCTCCCGTTCTACTATCCAAGATCCATTTTGACAGCAGCCCTCAAGGTGTATCACATCACCACACAAAACAGGTGACATCTCCCTGAAATAAAGAAACACAACAGAAAGAACAGAAAGTATGGCTGAGCATTTTTCTTAATTTTTACGAATAGCCACTTGCAATTTTTCTGACAATAGCATTCACAATTAGATTCCCAATTACATTTGGCAAAATTGAGTTATTGTTATATTGTTGTGCCTGTTTCCTCTTCATTTGTGCTGACATTGTGCAGTTTTTTGTTGACCTAAGGTGGAATAATGTTTTCACAATTGCTTAACAAAGTGCCATTACTCAACACCAAAGACGTGATTGTTGTCGATTGAAAGGACCTTGAGTTAGAAGATTCAAATGACAAACTTGCAGCGTCAAACCCAGAGTGAGTTATAAAGGCCTCTGCTCCCCATCTGAAAGTATTACTTCATCAAATTCTAGGATATGAACGCAGCCTATTAGCCAATTACGACTTTAATTCATTTTCTACATAGCTTGACTGAACATCATTACCACCCATCTTTCAGCAGACACGTCTCGGTTGGTTGTAGTGATTTATGGCTTGAGATTGTCAGAGTCTTTGAACCAGGACTTTCTTCAACATCTAAAACCCAATAGCGGTTATTTGGTCCTGAGGAGAGAAAGACATGGTCTGGAACTTTCCTGCAAAATCAGAAAACATCAGTAAAAGTGTGTAAAACGAAGAGTAAATATTTATATAGTACCTCAGTTTTTTGGGTTTATTTTCATTTTCCTCCATCTCCTCAGTAAACCAGTCATCATCCAGCAAGTCATCCTGTAAATTTGGATCCAAAGTTGCTGCGTTTAATGTGGTAAAAAAAAACAACTAAAATTATTATTATTGTTTTACATATACAGGAGAGAAACATATTTCAAAAAATGACATACATTGGTTATCAAAAATATATACGTGACCACTACCTGCTGTTGTCGTCGTTGGCTGGTTTTCTTGTTTCTCTCCATAAAATTTTTTCATTCCATCCTTGACTTCCCTATCTGTTAAATCTGTTATAACTGTATAGCATTCATCTTTGTTACTATGATCTGACTGTTTGGGAACTTCAGCAACTTCAAATTTATGTGAGGTGTTTTTAGACTTTAAAACCTCATCTTTCGAGTTTGTGTCTCTGTGAGTTAATGCAATTTTTGTTCTCTTTGCTTGTTGTGAATTTTCAGGAGGGCTAAACAGTCTTTTCAATGATCCAGTTCCTCTTCTCTCTCCATTTTGTTTTTCCTTTGCAAGCTGAGAAGTCTTTGAACTTAGGGCTACGACAGAGAGGAGACATTGGTCCGGTATTTTCTAAACTAACCAATCCTTTTCTTGGACTAGGATTTAGTTCACTTTTGTTTTGACTTGTTGGTGTCTCGGGAATAGAAATAACAAAATCAGGTGAAGATGGAAGGTCATTCTCCAAATCCCAAATTTTCCTTTTAGTTGGTGATTTTAGCAAAGCTTTAATTGTAGAGATTCCAGCTACTCCAGCTTTAAAGGGCTTAGTTGCCACATCCTGTACAAAACACAAATTACTATGTACTTTATCAACAGAACAATATCATCATTACCAATATGTATGGATAAAAATCACTACTATACCTTTTTAGGCGCACTAAAGAAGGACGAAATGTTTCTCACACCTCCTTGCACAACCTATTGCGAAATGGTAGGGTTATAAAACAGGACAGTATAAAAAATATGACTATCAATAATTAAACAATCACAGGGTGGTGCTAGTTTTGGTATTCAGCCAAATAATCGTTTTGTCCACTCCTTGCCTTAAATTCAGATTATGGTCATACTACAATTTAATAAGGAATATTTTCTACACAGCATAATTTTGTACAGTAGTCTATACATTGTTCAATTTTGTATATATTTGTTCAGTAACGTCTAAACTGTCACTACCACTACAACTTACAAGTTTTATATGTTTGCATTAGTTTAATTAAGCATGCATAGGGGATTCTTAATTTGCCTTTAAGGGATAAATAGTTATTTGATTGACTGAATAGGGATGACAACGTGGATTGTTTAACAGATCTGCTGGTTTTAATGACTGCTACGTTATATTCGACCACATAATAAAGTAAATTCATAGATCTTACCTTAGTTTTCTTGAGTTTGCTCATGATGAAATGCAGTGTGCACACGACTCTTTCAGATCCAATACACTATGCTCTTATGAAAGCGTTGCGAGTAAATAAAAAGAAAAGAAAAACCGTGCATCGCGCTCATCTAATCCACGTGTGTGAGAAGTCGCAGGTATGAACTTCTCCGTATCTTTGAATGTCATGTCTTTCTTTCGTTGCATCGGATTTGGAGCGCTTTTTTGTCATTTCGCGCAACGGAAATGTCCTTTAGGGGTTTCCGGTAGATAGTGGCGCCATCTGGTGGAGAAAATGTGTACTCCTATTGGCAGACCAGCAGAGGGCAGTAACAGTATTTCTCCCGTCTACTCAAAACATTTTGCAATTTTATTTTATTCTATTTCCAGAAGTATCGAGTGTAAGCCATAAATAATACCCAATAAATAGCAGCCTATATACAAGTACTGTATCTTTTATATCAAATACATTTTCTTCTCCCATTCCTTTATGTAAAAAAAAAAAATTCTTTACCCTTTTTTCTTTCCTCTCTGTTTAAATCACTATGTTTACATCATTACTGCAAGTCAGCAGTCCCCTTTTATAGCACAGTGGCAACAAAAGGGTGACTGATGAGCATCTTAGACGTATGAAAAAGGCAAAAGGCTCATTAGACCACAGCTAGGCCTAGATATATCTGCTCTAGGTCTATCTTATCTTAGGTTGAGAATTGCCTCACTTGGGCCTGTTTTTTAGGCCACTGAATGAAATTAGCCTAGTTTTCTTTTCTTTTTTTTTTTATTCTTTTGTGGTTTATTTATTGAAGACAACTTTATCGATTCAAGAAAATAGTTTGTGTGATGAGATTTAACAGCAATATAGATTATGTAAAAAGGTATTTTTCTAATAAAAATGAAATGTTTAAAAATATATATATAGTATAGTATAACAGAGAAAATTATATGCCACTAAGAACATCAAACACATCTGTATTTAGACAGCTTCAAGGGTAATTCTATAAAATAATTCTGACCTGTCCTCCAGCTCAGTTATAGACTATAGGCTGGGCTGTTATGACATAAAGTGAACACAACACAGTGAGACAAGCCACATGCCAAAGGGGGGCACACAAAAGAACAATGACCAGGCATTTGACAGAGGCACAACAACGCACATCAGCAAATCTGATCTTCCATATGTAACACATACATAAATGAAAATATTATGATGAAAACATGAGATTCAATATAGTTAATTAAATACAGCCTAAATAATTCTCTATATAAGCCTATATGCAAATTCAACACAAAACAAAACAAAACAAAACAAAAAAACAGCCAAGCAACATATTTTGTAAGTTGTTGCTGTTTCATGGTTTATTCATTCTATCATTCTCAATTTGGCACATACTGTCTGGCAGCTTTTAGCCTTTTGCCAACAATAGGGTGGCACAGCTGGGAACACTTCCACATATACAAAATGAATAAGCTCTAAGTAGGCGTGTGAATGTGTCACATATGCACCATTCATTCACATAATTTAGCACAATCAAGGGATATGGTTTGTCTTCTGTATGCAAATAATTAATAAACTTTCTTCATTCATACCGCACCACTGAATACGTCATTGAGTCCGAAATACTGTAAAAGTCATGTTGTCACAATAACATTTCACACTCATTTGTTTTTATACCACAATGACACAAAAACATTCTTTTTTCATATCATCATTGTCATGTGTGATGGACTGAATATTTTGTGCCAGTCCTGTTTTTTGTCTTGTCATCAACCTGCCAATAGGACTACAAATGAAAATTTAAAAACTAACCCTAACCCTAACTCTGGCACATTTACATGCTGTACTAACACAATGTGCCCTGTCTCAATAAATAATATTAAAAATAAACATATAATAGAATACAAAATAATGATCTTAGTCTTACTAGTCCTGAATCAGAACTATTCAATTCAGATGATTTTTTTTTTTTTTCAGTGTTGCAATGCTTTTCTGTTTAATGTAGCCCTATGTTCTTTTCCCACACACCTTTCCCCACCTACTACTCCCATTGGGCAACCTTATGCTCTGAGTGCGTGACAGCTGGATTTTAACCAATCATAGTGAACCTTCTGAGGCACCAAATGGCTTTATTTCCATAGTGTGTGTATATCTAAATTTGTGCTCAAGCTGCATGAAAATGAATCTTTTTTTGTAAGAATTTTTGGCTCATTGCCCACCACCCCTTCCTTGTCTATACCATCTGGTCATATAGCAGGGCTAAGAGAGCAGACTAGAAAACATGGCCAAATTTCTTGAGATCTTTTGATTTGTAAAAGTAAACAGTGCATGTTTTTAATGTTATCCTTTACTTTCTCCTCATTTGATTTGATTGTTTCAGAGTTAAGAACTTCTCCTAATAAATCACAGACAGGGGAAAAGGAGTCTGGCCAAGTGGAGAATACCAAGTAGCTACTGTCTTCTACCTCGACACATGTCTGGGTTCTCTGCTGTCGTAACAAATGATGTACCAAGAAGATGTACCACCTGCTGTCTATAGGGGAAGCTAAAAGAGCAAAATCTGTACATCCCTAACAATATAGCTTGCTCTCATGAAGTCGGAAATTGATGTCCATTAACACAGGGTCACTAAATAAAGATATACAATCTGAAAGTAATCACATTCTCCAGATATTTAGATGGCAAATGTCATGCAGGAAATATGGATCATTCACAACATATACCTCTGTAAATGTCAAACCTGTTTTCTAGCATGTGGCAACTCTTTCTTTGCTCAAATAAAAGTAGAATGATTGGATACTGGTCTATGTGCTTTATTTAGAGTCTGTAAGTGTTCTATTACGGCACTTAAAGCCAGGTCTACAGATGTTTTCAGTGTTGTGAATGTCCATGGGGAGCAGAGCATTGCTTGTGTTTGAAAGGTAACATGTACTTGACAAAGGCATGTCCACAAATGTTAATAAAATGGTGGGTAAACAAGATAGATCAATAAAGATTTTCATCAGTGGTGGAGAAAAATGTATGCATTAGTCAAACATCGTGCATCACTAGAAAAAACAGATGAACCATGTATTCTTGAATTCTTGACCCATAAAATAAAAACATAATTGTTACGGATCAAGAGCGACCCACAAGGATAAGAGCCCACTCAGTCAAAATAAAGGTGCACTATGTAACTTTTCTAGTCACCTGTTCACTGCCTGCTTTTTTCCAAAGAGATGGTTTGATGTCAGATGCCTGGGATGTACCACTACTCCTATCTCTGTGGATACAAACAGGTAATGCCATCAGTTACGAGTCAGATCTGTGGAGAGGTGACCATGCACACTGCACATATATCAAAAACAGCTCAAATTGAATGAATGAAAAATATATAAACCATACTGTACAATAAAGCAATAAAATCTCAACAGTCAACAGTGGGGCAATTCCCGCAGTTCCAACAGACAAATACTGTTGTTGTGTCATTGAGCAAGACACTTAAATGTGCATTGTGTAAATTTTGTGGTGGTGGGTTCGTCAAATGCTTTTCTTGATGGAGATTTTCTTGCTTTGTCTGGTTCAGTATGGTACTGAACCAGACAATCTTCATGGAGACCATGGTCAGGTCAGATCTGTAGAGAGACCACTACCCACTCGCTGTCAGAATGCCTGTTTTTCTAGGTATTTTTGAGCTATAAAACCACCTGTAATTAAATACATGTAAGGTAGAACTGTTTAATGTCATACTGCAGAACATTCTAGGCAGAGCAATGATATATTCATAGAAACAAGCAGGTGATGAACCTCCACCAGAAAAGTTAAATGCCTTTAACCCACCTTGCCCTCAGTGTCTGCGTACACCGGTGTGTGAATGGGTGAGTGGTTCCTTGATGTAAAGAGCTTTGAGTGCCTTGAAGGTAGAAAAGTGCTATATAAAAATGTGACCATTTACCAAAAAAAGTGACCAATAGTCTCTACCATCTTGTCTTGACAAATACATGATTGAGCGCATTTATTTTACAGACAGAGCTGAAGACTTTCTCTAAAAATGGTGAAACAACTGAATTCACAACTGCAGCGTTAACTATTGATTGTTGGTGTTCTGCAGCGGCTGAACAGGTAGAGGGTGAAATTGTTCTTCTTGGACAAATGGAGCCTATTATCTTTAACTTCTTGGGTTCTTTTTAAAGACAATGCAGTAAAGTGTGTTTACCTTGTTGACATGTTTCGGCTGCCCAAGAAGTTAAAGTATATAAGAAGACAAAATGAACATCTTTTGCTTAATAAGGAGCCTATTATCATTTCACTTGCTGACTTTAAACGCACACACATTTTTCAAACCATGTGAACTACGGCAGATTTTCACCAGACCTTCCATGATACCTGGTTTTGTTAAGTAATATAATGTAGGCCAGTTGTGGAACGTAACAAAGTAAAAGTAGAAATGTACTGTACTTTAAGTCAGCATCTTTGAGTGTTTGGAAAACTTATAAATAAAACATATTATTGTATTATTATCATTGTTATTAAGTACATTTTTAAGTGGATACTGTAAGAGAATTTAAGTAATTTATCTTCCACGCACATCTCAGTTTAACAGTGACACAAAATCTATATTTTCACCATGATCTTCTCTTGGTATACCATTGGCATACCATTATCTAAATTGTGGCATATTGCTGCCTAACTGCCTACTGGCCTTCATAGTCTCACCACACTTGCTTTATAAACCTCCTCCTTTGGAAGCATAGTCAAGGGACTTGAACACTCAAAGATCATACTATGTTCACTTTACAAGTCCCCCCGGGTCCATATTATTGATTGTAAATAAACTTCTCCTGATTAAGACATCCATTTGGTCGCCAGCCTTTACTGCCACCCTTTCTTGGACTGAAAACTTTGACAGATACTTTCTACTTTTACTTCAGTACTTACTCCATTACATTTTTTAACTGGACTGAAAAGTAAAAGTATTTTAGTATAGTTTGAGACCTGCAGAAACACATTTGTTTGAGGAAACAAAAATATACAAATAAAAACAGCTAAGGAAAAAAAATCGATTCAGTTGTTTCTGCTGAACAAAATTCAGTACAAATCTCTTACTTAAATTGACTTTTTCATGTGGTACTTTTTTTTTGTTCCTGTATTTGTAGTTTTACTTAGGTAACAAAATTGAATACTTCTTCCACCAATAATAAAGACCTACAGTATATATAGTGTTATATTTGGCAGTAATTGCAGATTTCTTATCCATTTAAAGTGAGACAGTTTTCAAAGTATATTTCCAGGGCATTTTATACACAGCAGTAGGCTATAATCTTAACCTGGGGCCATTGATAGACCATTTATACAACGCATTTCAGCTTTGACTTATTTAGTGATGATTGAAACATATTTGATCTAACCTTCTACTTCAGTTAAGTCTTGATGAAGGCTTGGCTTTCTGATCTGGTCATGGTTTTGGGTTAATTATTGCATGAAATCTCCCACTGAATTTAAGCTCCTTTTCCCCACACTGCCCCAAAGCCAACAGTGCTGTGAATTTGGAGCAGAGATCTCATATAGAGTCTTCATTTGCAAATTTCAAAACTCTGCCTCACCTCCTCATGACCTCACACACAAATCAGATAACTAAAATAATCAGATAACCCATTGATTAGATCTGATGTGTGTTTACATGCAAAACAGAGAGCTGATCATCAAAACAAATAAAACTGTTCATTTAATTTTTTACCTTTGCCACATTAGTTTTCCCTTTTGCATAATCAGAGAGAAATCAGATTACTCACACCAGATGTATCTGTTTACATGACATTTCAATAACTCCACAACTTAGATAATGATCAGATTCTAGGTGTACCTGTATAGCCACTAGAATGAAAAGCAAAATGATTCAGAACTATGTCGTAAGAGTGTCAAAGGAAAATTGTGGTGACTAAAAAACTGAGCCTAAGAATCTTCACAATAGCAGCTCTTGTAACACTCAGATTGTTTTGTTATGATAAAATGGCATGATTCACAGTGTATCAAACTACTGACTTCAGCATTCAGTATAATGTTGTTTCTTCATCACAAACAAACCTGGAGTTGTGTTGTGTGTGATTCACACATGTTTAACACACAAATTCTGCATATTTGGGTTGAGTTTTTCTCTCAAACAGAAAACACTCTGTTCCACCTTGTGATGTCATGTCGTAATACAGGAAGTGCTCCTCTGTGTTTCTAAACTCCACACACCTTCTCTAGAATCATTTGGAAAATTTCATCCCTGGAATTGTCCGTCTTTACTGAACTACAGGTAAAAAGGAGGTGTTAACTTGAAAACTATCACTACATTACAATACAAGGTGGAACAGAACATGTTGAGCTTTGGAAATGTAGACAGACTAATATTAAAGGGTTACTCAGACATGTGTGAATAAAACTAAACACAACTCCTGGTATGTTTATGATGAGGTAGGAGCATTATTATATGGCTTAAAGCTTATAAGAGTCAATTTTGCATATTATAGGACCTTTAATAAAATGTGTTTTGCACAGAAACAAAGCTTAAAGTCCAATCCAGATGAATTTTCTATAGCCTCTCTGGGCATTTACTAATAGCCTAATATTGATTTGATTATTAAACCGTTAAATGTTATGCAAAATGTTACTCTTGATTGCTATTGACTATTGGTTCCAGTTCCAGTTTTTAAAAAAGTATTAAAGTAGTTATCAGTAAAAGCCATTGGATCTGAACATCTCCAAATCAAGAGGTAGCTCAGCTGATAGCAAGTTTGTCTACTGATCCGAAGGCTGGTGGTTCGAATCCTGCTCTCAACATAAACATCATTGATTGAGTTGTCAGAGATCCACTTCAATTCCAGATTGTTACTGTTGCGTCCTTGGGCAAGACACTTCATCCATCTCTCCCCCCAGTGTCTGGGTATGAATGTGCAGGTGAATGGGTGCATGGTTTCTCAATGTAAAGTGCCTTTGAGTGCCTTGAAGGTGGAAAATAATGTATAAATATGACCATTTATCGTATCTGACACAGTTAAGTCATGTTTATGGAATTTATAAATCACAATTTTACATACATTTCCTTTAAGTTCATTTGAGAAGCTTTGTGGCTCTATTAGCCTGTATAATAAATGGGCATAACTAACCCTCAAGCTGCCACATTCCAAACAGGAAGTGTTCATGGGGGCGCTTCCGGCACCATCAACTTTCCAATTGACTTTACACTGCAAAATTGTTACCCCTCTCCCTGTAACTGCTGCAGTGAGCCTCATCACTTCAGTCTTAAAATGTTCATATTAAACCGCTCTACATGATCCTGGTGTTTCTATTTAGCTTTTTTGTCTGTAAATAAATTCCTATTCTGTCTCACTCCCTTAGTCCACTTCTTTATACAGTCTATGGTAGCCCTCCTACATCAGTACTTTGGGCTGATAAGCTAACAAGGTTAATTTATTATGTGCCATGCTAAATGTCAGGCACCAGACTAATAAATGGCTACACCTTCCACCTACATTACTGCACACCGTCAGTGTTCTAGCAGGATGAGGAAAATAATAATTAATCAGACAATTGTCAGGGCTTTCTCTGTAACTCTTAGCTTCAGTAAATCACCTCATTACTGACTACAGATAAAAATACTATGTTTAGTTTAATTAAGTACAATATTTGCGGTGTATTGCCATGGTGACAATAGGTACTGGCACATGCATTAGTTGTGACTAGACTGTATTTGTTATATCCTCGACTCTTGTCTCCATCTATAGCTTTTTACAATGCTCAAAAGCCTCTCCAAGATGAATGCTGCTACCTCCTTTCAACGTTTTCATGGCTGCTATTTGGAAAGCTCTAAGCCCAGTGCATTAGTCTGCCCATAATCAAGACAATACAAAAGGACAAAACACTTCCTGTTTTGATGAATATTTTAAAACATATTTAAACCTGTGTGTACTTTGGAACTATACAATCTTTCTTGTTGGACAGTGCCACAAAATTCAGGCAGAATATGAGTCTGCATAATCATATTGTCAGTTGTAAGTGGCAGAAATTTTTTAGTGTCTAATCTAATGACATATGAAGGTGGGTAGACTAAACAAACTATTTATTTAAGAGTACAGTTCAAATTAACACTACAGGAATAAAACGTAAAAAAATTACTCACCTAAACCTTATAACCTTATACTGCTGTATCTACTAGTACCACAGCCTTTTATGCCATGTTGTTGTTGTTACATGTTATAAGTACCTCACAATATTATATGTGTTAACACACTAAATTAAACAAAATTTAACTTTTACTTGAAGTAAAAGTAATACAAATATTTAGGAACTCTAAAACTTCTAAAAAAAATAAAATAAAAAATAAATAAATAAAAAGGTCTTGGCCTTGCTATAGCTGTCTGGATGTAACACCTTATTTATAATTTGAAGTTAATGTATTTGAAAAAAACAACAAAAAAAACAACTTAATTATTTGAAGGAGCAGTGCAAGAAACATAAATGTTTAAATAATTTCATGTTATCAAAATAAAGAAAGAAATAGTATAGATAAGAAGTTGTATATAACTGAATACTGTCCATCTCTGATGGCATTTCTACTGTTTTCAGAGAATAGGAGGACATTTCTTAAATATATATTTTTCTGTCTATAATGTACAGTGTTCATTCACATTGAGGAATGTTGTATACATTACCACGCTGTTCTGTCAAGGACATGTCTTCTTCTTCCCTTTCTTTGTAGATCTATTACTTGCACCCCCTTGTATTATAAAATTTTCATAAATGAAAACACGGGGGGCTTGAATGGTCAATTCTATCACAGTGTGCTCTGTATTCACTGTCCCTGGGTCCTGCACAGATGGTAATAATCTTCTCTTGCCTCTGACATTCAGAGTCATAGCCTTTCTTTTCAACTCCAGCACAGCTCTCAGTTCACTCACAAAGGATGCATAAATATAGTCAGGTTTGAATTACTACATTCTAATGGTACGGGTGATTCAACTGCTATACTAAGATGTGTTCACACATTTTTATTACACTCTAACTGAACCAATCCAAGTCCTTATGTGGACTTGCTTTGGTCCTGTTCTAGTCCTGGTTTAGTCTCAGTTTTGATGTGGTGAATAAGCAAGTGTGAGCGCACCCTAAAACCTACTAATAGCTACATTTGCTCTGGGGTAGCAGTGGGTGGGCTAGACATTTCTATTGTGTGTTTCTCTACACCCATAGACTGGATGAAGATGAATTATACAATCTATGTGTACACCATTAATCAAAGAAAAGGTTATGGCCTCATGACAGATCGACTGAAAATAGATAATGAAAGCATTTTACTACATAATAAAACTGGACAGGCTTTATAGTGTGGTGTTGATTTTTACTAGCATCAAAGATTTAGCAGGGTAGTCAAGTCTTAAGTTGACTTGCCCTCTCATGGTACACAGTGTGGTATTGGAAATCAATTATTAACGCTCCAGCTCACCAAATAGAACTTCCACAGCAGTCAAGGAAAAAAGCTTAAAACATAATAAAACATGTTTTTATTGTTCACTCACTCTTCACCAATCACACTCAAATAGTAGTTTTCCCCACATCACCTGTCATTCCAAAAAGCTTACTAATCAAAGTTAAATATACCTGGAAGACAAAGAAAAACACACTTCAGTTTAAAATTCAACTTCATAAAAAAACAAAAAACAATCTATAATTAATATCTAAAACTATAGGTGATGATGAGCATTGGGAAGTAACATGAACTGATATGCTTTCAGAATACTACAACTAACTGTAGCTTTTCAGAATACAGTAATTTCCTAAAACCAAATGTATTTGTGAGAAAAGAAGAAAATACAGCTCTTACAAATGCATGTGCAATATTTCCTTCTCAATTCAGTGATTAATAAATGCAAAACAGTGGAACAAAGTTGATTTAATCCAATGCCGTGTAACAATATAACTCTAAATATTGATAGTTTGCTACAGCATCACTCTGGGGATGTTCTGCATGTATGCCTATTGGCGGAGTGTTTAGAAGTTACCATGGTGACACAGTGCACATATTAGCAATAACTACACCAAAAGATTTTATGATTGTCTGAAAACGCAAAAAGGTGAGTGACTATCTGAAAAACTGTTGGCTTATGCTTGTTATCTTGTGACTTTCGTGTTATTTGAGGAGGAGTTGTTTAACAGCACAGATCATCTCACTTGTTGTAATTCTTTATGAGTTCTTTATGGTCAGATAGTGTTAAATTAATCAGCAGATTAAACTTGTTTAACAGAGCTTTAGACAGAGCAGTGTCTACAATTAGCACCACAACCCCAGGGAATGTTCAGCTGCAAAGTATCAATTCAGAATACAGTACTCTGACTAGACCAGGTGTTAGAATATGTTACAAAGTACATCCCACTGCAAGTCATTTTGTCACATTTTCAAGATATTTTTCCCCATACTGGTGATGAGTGAAAATGCACCACTAAACATCATCTTACCCCTTAATAGTAACTAAACTGCAAAATGCCACTGAAGAAACATCAAATCTCAAACTATCTGCCTTTGTTGAAATCAGATTAAGTTTCAAGGCCAAACAGAAAGTAGCAATGTAAAGGACAAATTGATCGTGGTCTCCTTTTACTCTGCTCTGTTCATCGGGAGATGGGAGCAGGAGCACACTTCACATTATTGTTCAGCTACGGTTAGCCTTTTAAAAAAAACTACTACACATTTTATAGAGATAGCAGTAATTAAAAGGGTAGATCGAAGCAAATTAATTGAAATTTTGAAATAAAAAATTAATTATAACTGTACCACAAAACAAGGTCATGATCTGAACTTGAAAATTGCTACATTAGTAGGAAACTATCAGAAAACGAATAATAATGAAGAATATAAAAACAAAGCAACAACTGACAACTAAGTGTACAACTCTATAATATATAGATAGGTAGGTAGATAGTTAGATATTAGTAATAAACTGAAACGGCAGTATAACAAACTATTAAAACTGATAAGGCTTGATTATTGATTAAACTATTAAAACGTTGAATTGACACAAGGTTGCTTAATTTCCGTATCCTTCTTAATGTAAAAATCCATAGTAAAAGTTGTACACTGTTGTAGTGGCATGCCTGAACAGTTTGTTTATCCCTGAGACCGATCAAGGCACAATCAAGCATTTGTGCAACATGGATTGTTGTCAGTGGAGAGTTTGAGGAGCTAGTGTCCATTAGCTGTCCCTTTAGTCAAAATCTGGCATGCACTTAAACCACTTTGTAACACGGCCATGACTCTTAGTCTCCATCGCCGAGTCCAGGAGTGCATCCCTGTAATGGCCGAACTCTGTTATAGCATCTTCCACTCGTGTGATGTACAGCCAGCTCACAATCACTCCAAAGAACTGCCAAGAGCAAAATCCATGATTAGCTTGAGGAAGTTCATATTAAGAAGTTGGTGAAGGCTTCTGACAGATTTATAATTGTCAATTTAGCTGCAATTTTCCCAATGCTAAGAAGTTGGTAAAATGATTTGCAACATAAAAGATTCATAAATTAGCATAGAATTATGACAGACAATAAACCATGACATAAATGTAGAATCCACTGGGCTTTGTTGTTGTTTGAAGCTTTCTTAAGTCATCACTGGACCGTGAAGATGATTACATAAACTAATTTGGTTGGTTTATTGCAATTTATAGGATTAATTTAATTCTGCAATGAACAGTTGTCAGAAACTAGTCTCAAACCCACAATGGTGAGGCAGGCGCGCATATCTTTGTGATATGGTAAGTAAAAAAGAATCATGGAAGGAAACTATTCAGATGTTACTGTAATGAATGACCAATAGGCTGTTACCTGAGGCAGCAGGATTCCCAGCAACAGAGCTGCCATATACTTGTAGTTGTCCATTAGCCAGATGAAGAAGGCGTCAGTACACCCTCTGATGTGAATGACATCGATTAAATCCAAACGCTAAGAAAAATAAAGCAGATATAATGACATGTGTAAGCCTTATTTAACTAATATGTGGTTTGTGCATTCAAATTGCATTTAACACTGCATTATTTATTCACTCCACACTTAGTGATATTACTACTACTAGCCACAGCTGCCCTGGTTTAGACTGAAGAAAGCTGGCTGCCAATCTGGAACATCACATGAGCAGCTCTGACCACCACCACCAATCACTCATGCACACCACATTCACATTTGATGATAGATACAACATCTGACACAATAGCGGGAATCGATTGTTCAACCTTTGGATTGGTGGATGAGGGCTCCAACCACTGAGTCCCTAAAGGTGAAATGCAATCCTCTGATATGAACAGCAAATAGATTTGAAGAAGAAAGACACTAAAACTGAAATGGTGGCCTTTTAATATCTCCTTTGAAATCCATTAATAAAAACAAATAACAAGTAGATTCTTGTGGGGGTGAATGCTGACCACTACAGATCAGAGTTGACTAACCTCTTTCTTGAGCACTTTGTAACCACACAGAGTGTTGGCCACTTCATTAGGCTACAAAACAGACAAGAAAACAAGAATGAGCACTGTCAGTTTGCTTGATTATGACTGTGAATGTGTGTGTGTATGTATGAAAATATACCCCTGCATGAAGTCAGAATTTCACCAGTATCACCACTGTAAAATTGTTGTGTTACTCCAAAATAGGTAAAACTTATACTGTTTCATTTGCTACAGCAGATTCTAACCTGTAGTTAGTAAAATGTCAATGTATGAGCAATTAAACTGACTGTAAGAATGGCAGCAGTGACAGTATTGCATGTGTTCACTGTACTGTCCAGATGAGTTTGACTTGGCTCTGAATAAAGTATTTGTGCATTGACAGTGTTAATACAGCATTACCATATTCAAATACATGGAGATTTGCATGTTATTTTAAATATGATAAATCCCCCGCTTGCCATCTGGAACAAGCAAGTGGTGAATCGGGGGAAAAAAAGTATTATACAGGTTGTATACAGAGTATTTTAATCTTTAAAGAGCTTTTAACCTTTTTTTTTCCCCACACCTCAATATTCAACTGGAAGTCAGCAGAGTTTTTTTTTATAAATTGTTTAAGATCCCACATATTGCAACTTCCAAAGTATAAAATAATAATCCATACATGTCTTAGATATTAGAACTTAGATGTCAGATATGTCTTCTTTAATCTAGATATAAAAATATGATGATATTAAATTTAGGCATATTTTTACAGTCCAGATCAGTTTCCAAGGCAACAGCTGACAGTCAGATGGTCGTACTGATCAGAGTCTGTCATCCTCCCTGTGCCACTCCAGGTGCATGAGGTGCTATGTTACAAATGTTTAAGCTGAAAGTCTCATCCACACTCGACTGCCTTTTTGTCAACACTCAATGTTCAATAGTTAATGATCAGTTTAGACAAAACCACCCTGTACAATCTGAGTAGGAATAATCTGTTAGGACAACACTGAGTACGGCATAAAGACATGAATTATCCAAATGCCATCCCATTACACAATGCAGAAATAAGACCGTATAAAATCTGTAAAAAATAACATGTATACAAATATATTAATAGCTATAATTTACCCAAACATTTCCCTAAGTGTGTATGGTTGTACTAGTTGTACCCCTTTTCACGGATTTCATCTTCTTGTTATGTGAGACATTTTTAAGACTTTTCACAATAATATTTTTGTTTTAAACTGTTAATTTGTAATGCCAACAGTTTTTCATCATTGTGAAACCCACGGACACAAGCCTGAAGGTCTATCATAATTATATGAAAATACTATGTTGTGATTGTGTGGGTGAAAATTGCCTTTGCTGCTCCTAAGCTGGAAACAGAGTAGCAGTAATCATGATAATAAAACCATACTATATTTAGACTATGTCCTTTTGAACTTTGTGTGATCTATGCAATACTAAATATTTATTTTCATTCATAAAGACACAATGTGATTGGATGCAGAAATACAAACCTTGGTGGTGATGCAACAGGTGTAGGGGACTCCACAGGCTAAAGGACCTGGGGCAGAGCAATTGTGGTACATGTTGACCGACCAATCCTTGTACTCTTGACCTCCACAGCATTTAAACTGAGAAACAGGGAGTGCAGGAGAGGAGGAGAGGAGACATAACAGAAATTATATGTAGATGAATGAAAATCAGTATGTAAACAAGATCATTTCAGAGACTCCACTGGATGAATACCAGACACATTTGCTGCCAAAATACACCATAATTTATAAGACAAGTTGAATAATTGTGGCTCTTTTGAATGTGCTGTTGAGGTCTTGAAACTCAATACACTGCTGATTATTCATACACAGCTGGAGCAACAAGCAATGCTATTTCTCACATAATGCTAATCTATTTTTTATATCATGAATTCAGTGTTACAAAAATATTTAACATGATGGCCGAGTTGTTTTTGTTATAATTTGGTGTTTTGCTTCTCAAGTTAATTCTCCAATGAGAAAGCAGGATGAGCATAACCTGAGTCTCTCATTTGGGTTGCTAGTTTCAATGCTGAAATCCAGTTGGTTTAATCCAGGTCTAAAATGCCTCTCTGCTCAGTCATTTAGTGTTCGTGCAGTCTCTGCAGCTCAGTGAATGGGTTCTGGAGATTCTCATGTCCATATATGGAGAATGCGAAAAAATTCCTCAACATGTAGGTTAAAAAAACTGACAACCCAGGTTCAGTGGTGAGGGTAACCATTTTTAAAACCGTAACCGTAACCATATTTCTAAACCGTACATACTGCACCTTTAAATTCAAATCAAAAGTTACCAAAACTATATGCTTCCAATGCTGTGCTATTTTGAAAGACAATGTAGTCAAAATCCATTAGCCATGTTGGAGACATAAATTATTTAATCTAATTGTGTCTTTAATCAAACACAACGGCCCCATGTGGCTTTAGTTAGAGTTTGAGGTGAAGTGAAGTAGTAGTGATGATTGGTAGTAGTATTATTATAATAGTAAAATGAACTTAAGTAAGAAAGCTGATACATGAATATATGAATGTTTATGAGTCTGCTGTTTGACAGGCATGTCATCAGTATGCCAACACCACACCAGGGTGCCCACCAGTCATTACTGAAAATCCAAATAGGAAACACACCAAGGTAAAGCTACATCCGCCACCAAACACTGGCAGATCTAAGTGTCTGTGGACAGATTAATTTGTTTAGCAGTAAACACGATTTCCAAATGTTAAAGTAATAATTTGATTTGAGTTTAACCCCCTCCAGGTTCATTTGGCTGTCACCCACTTTGCCTCAAGTGTATATGGCACAAATGAATTTATGTTATTCATAGACTGTTGGTACTGAAAATCTTATGGTGAATATTTCATAATGGAATGCAAAATTCATTATATCGACAAAATTTTAAGATGCACTCTGTAACATTTCTAGTGGATGGTCTGCCACCTGCTCGTCTCCATGGAAATGTTACTACTTTGCTTAGAATGTTCCACAGTATAGATTAAACCCTTTCACAAGGAAGACAAGCAGATTATAGCACAACACTACATTAAAATTCAGATCTGTGGCGAGCCACCCCTATTTACAAATCAAATTGTTGAATTTGTGAGCAATAGAACCATCCATAATGAATAAATGCTAGATGAATATCTTGATTAAGGAACATTCCAGGCAAAGCAATAACATCGCCATAGAGATAAGCAGGTGATGGACCTTCCACTAGAAATTGTACGCATTAATGAAGTAAAAGTATCAATACATAACATTTTAAACTAATTCATTCAGTGCATATAATTTAAAAAACAACAGAATGTATTTTTATATAGTTCTGGTCTGGCATTTTATGTTTTCATTCATATATAATACAAGAAGAGAAAACACACAAAAACACTCCATTAACTCAATAGCAATAATGATTACCTAGCATCCAGCAAAACATGTACCAAAATGTATCAGATGAGGCAACTGTGCAAAGGCCATAATTAATGAATATAATGGATTCTATGTCAGTCCACCTGGCTTTGCTATTGCACAAAACTGAAGTGCAGTGTTTTAAACTGACAATGCTCTGTTGGAGGCAGATACTGGCGGACACACCCACTGACTGATGTCTAGTCATTGGCATCTCAGACAGGGTGAAAAAGTGACTAACCAGGTTGCTAATTGGCTTGGTCTGGGAGGGCTGCAAGCTATAAGTCAATGCACTATCTCCTTTCTCATCAATACAATGTCTACAAGCTGATAATTCATTAAGACATTAGGATCATGTAGTTTAATTATACTGCTCAAATTTGAGACCAGTATCCTGTCAGGCTCCAAACTGAGTGTGTACTTCTTACTACACAAGAAACAGGCACAAAATCCCATACAGAGTTTTATAGATTTATGTTGAAAACTGACTGCGCTTGGCTGTCAGCTCTAATCCAAGTCTCCAGTCTGATAGATGGCATCTCTGAGTCAACAAATCAATCAAACATCTTTGGTCAAACAGGAAAAAAATCTATAAGTAAAAAGGGATTTAATGGTGTTGAGTCTGTGATCATCTAAATTGCATAATTGGATGCGCCTTTAATGATGATTAACTGTGGTTATAGCTGCACTGTGACTGAGTTCATTGTGTTGCCCATAACACCTGCTCTTTGTGTACAATAAAAGCAGTGTCTGTACTAGACGCTGAAAGCTTATAGATTCTTTACCAGCATCATCACAAGTCATACCTCTTTCTGAACAAAATCCATTATGTTCTTGAAGTCCAAGTCGTCATAGTAGTTTTTAATGCCTCTCCTGATGTTTCTATTAACCAAATCCATCGCCTGCATGAAGAAAATGAACAGAAACAATTAGTATGTTAATGTGGCAGGGAGGGTCAGCTGCCATTTCATTAAGCTCTGATGAAACAGCTGATCTACTGTTTATGTGAAATACACACCAAGTGTAAGAAACCATCCACTTAGTCAAGGTGACTGACCCATTCAGCTGAAAGATTTAAAGATGACTTTTTAACATGGCCCAGCTGTCACTCACAATCTGCTGCAGTGCCTCATTTTCGCTTAACCGGACATACATGAATGCAGCTAGATGCACTATTTGGTTCTTGATGTAATTTTTCTGCTTGTCTCCAAGAAGATACTTTGCCTGGAGACATTTACTGTATGACATTAATCTTATTTATAAGTTACAGGTTGGATCATTCACAAAAAGAATGTCTGTTTTAAGATATTTTAGCAATATAACATTTGTAATTTAGTAATTGCATATTAGATCATTTCAGTGCCATACTGTGGAACATTGCAGGCAAAACAATAGCACCTCCATAATGATTAACAGGTGACAGACTCTCCAGCAAAAGTAACTTATTCCCCCTTCATGTCAAAATAAAAACTATAGAGAACCTCCACACTATTATGCAGTATCTACTGCTAGACTGACTGTTGTAAAGAAGGTATTTTATTGCAGTACAGTTCTACATGGTATACACCATGCACTTCCATGCAGGTTTTATATTTTCTTCCACTATGTAAAGTCTCTGCAGTGTACCCAGGCAAAGGCACATATTCAAACTAACTGGATTATCAAGGAGTTGTCATTAGTATGCTGTACAAGATTGATATTGAACACTATGTTAAAGTACTATAATGTAAATTAAACACACATGAACATTAGAATTTTGAATATGCTGTCCATTGACACCATATGCAAAAATCAAGAATATAAAGCAGAAAGGATCACTGAGCTTCTCTTGTAACAAAGAAGATGTGAGGACTGTGTGACCAAGATTTAAGGCTGCATATGGTTGTTTTTCAAGGTTTTCAGAAAAAAAAAAAATGTAATGGTTGAATATTTGACATATTTATGTATTGTTACAACTATACAGCTATATTGTATATTGTGCAGTTTTACTCTTAAGTTCAATTGTTTCTCATTGAGAAACAAACTTCTAATCTGACCTAATTTCACTTGACAAATTGAAGATATAAACTGTTATTTGACAGCAGAGACATGTTTTTTTTCCAGAGGCTATAATATGTTTTTATGGTGCACAAACTGGTATGAGCGGTTTTGTGTTTGACTGTTTGGCTTTCTGATTTCCCATGGATGGAGCCAATGACACCTACAGATGCAGCAGACTCTGGAGAGTAGAAGACCAAAAATCTATTTGGCCAAAAAATTACTTGTTATGCTATGTGGTCGCCGCAATGTAGACCATGTAATGAATATTTTTGCACTTTTATAGGTGCACACTGTACAATTGTAGGGTGAGAGCAAGCATTTTAAAAATGTTTAAATATAAGCAATAGACACACATATATCCTACAATGGCATCATGGGTCTTGCCACATGAGTTACAACAACAAAGTGTACAGCTGAATGCAAGATTTTCATTTGAAATACTATAATATGTAGGACCACTTTTTATGTCACTGATACTGTAACGCTAAAGCATGATGATCAACACCTTGGTCAATTTTAGTTACATAAAAGATGATTCTAAGCAGAAAGGTTCATGTAACTGGAGATTTGTGGGTTATAGCTTGCCCTCTGTGTTTTAGATGCACAGGGTCTTGATAGTTCCCTTTTATCAGATGATAGACAAAAGGGAATAAATGAAGAAGATGGATAAGGATCTTAAATCAAACCAGATTAATAGCAAATGAAAAGAAGGCTTGTTTCTGGATATTGTTCATAAACGTTTACAGACATCTCAATAATCCTATACCTTAGAACACATGGTCTCCATCTGAGAATAGATTCAGCTGAATTATTGTAATTACTGGTCTATTCACCAGGTTCGCATCCATAATCGTTTTAATCACTGCAGGCGATAACATTTCGCCAAAGAAATCTCAAAGTGAAAGGAAGGCTGAGGCTCTGACTGACAAGGACTCACCTGGTTGCGGAAAACCAGAGCCAATATCCCTCCCAGCAGCTCCAGAATCAGGCACACCGCCAACGCGTACATAAACTGCAATACATCATAAGATCATTATAATATCCTATGTTTTTCAATTTGCCACATCATGAAAACTTACTACAAACTGTACTTACCACCTTCAGCAGAGTCAGATTGTCCCTCAGTGAACCCAAAACGCCAATAAATGAGACTACAAACATGAGGATGCCCAGCAGGATCAGGATAATAGCTGGGGCCAAAAACACTCCCTCTAGAGTCTTGTAGTGCTGCCTCTCCACCTCCGCATATATGCCTACAGCCAGGATACAGCCACCTATAAGCTGCAAGTACAAGGAAAGCACAGATTTATAAGCAAGCAAGAAATGCTCCAGAAATTAGCATAACATGTGTTTTTTACTTTAATGAGAGAGAACAGAAATAAAGGCTGTGTATATAAATAGAAGTGTCTCATCTTTTCTTTTAGTATGACATTTGTGACTAATTACAGGCCAATTAGATTTCGTAATTGTGCCAGGTTGAAATGGACCATAGATCTTTTTACTTTTGGTTCTGGTAAATGGCTCCTTTATTTAGTTCTAATAAACTCGGGCTTCAAGTCACTGGGGTGCGCAAATACAGGGTGTGCATTAATTACTCTACCAGTCTTTTATCAGTGAGAGCTTTCTAAGTCTTTTATTATTAAAAATGCACTGATACTGGTTGAAAGTAATATTCTGGTTGGTTGGGTCTATGAATGAATAAAATAAGATTGTTGAATGCCTGATCATTACCCAGTACATTTCATAATGCATAAAAATGCTTTTCTGCGTTACTTGGAGGATAAATAGCAGAACACAGTAGTTAGTTCATTTTCTTGGTCTCCCATAAAAGAAATTTCTCTGGAACAGGGAGAGCTGCTCAAAACATCACCCACACGCATCTCACAAAAGCAAGGCAATGCTACAGTCAGAATGACACATACAAAAGCCTGTAAACACACAAATCATCTCCTCCTTTAATCTACAGTTCTTCATTTATAAGTTTTACTGATACAGGTATAAGCAAGTCCTGTACCTAGTTCTTATTCCCAAGTGCATGAGTGTGTACTCAGAGTGTGTACTCGGAATACACACATCTGCTCTATATTCTGGTATTGGTGGATATTGGGTACCTAGTGATATTTTAAAGTATTGATTTGCCTGTCACGATAATTACTAAACTGACTTATCGTTCTATATATGCTGTATTGAACAATCATTTTTGAGAAGCAATATTTATCATGGAGACTTTTTCTTAATACTAGTGGGTAACTTTTTGTTATTTTTATGTAAATAATGTCTGTGACCGATTACAGCTACAAACTAAGTACTAAAAGGTTAATTCTGTTTAGTTCTTGCATCTAATGCTATTCTTTTTTAACAGTATTGAACACTTAGAAGAGTTTTAGGGATAATCCTGCTTTTTGGTTTTTCTGTCAGTATTATCATTTATTGTCTATATTTATTTCAGAATTATATCACACTTTAAAATGTGTTATTGTGACAGGCTTTAAAAAATATTCAAAATTGGTCTCGTAATCATCAGATCCCAAATAAATGTGATTAACAATATACAGTAATAATTATTAAAACAAAAAGAGAACATCGTGGATAAGAACCTTTTTCTACACAATCTGGTGGTATAAAATTATCTTTTAATAAATGTAACCCCATGACTGCCCACAAGTCACATGGGCCTGCTGTCTATAAAGCCCTGTATTAGTCATCATCGTGTGATTGTGCTGACCACTGACCACATTCTAAAGGCATAATGGGTTTAAAGGGAAAAACACTAAGGCATTTCAACTACAGTATATGTGCTATACTTCCCATTGGTGGAAGGCAATAATGATCCAAATTGAATTTGTTTGGATACTCCTGATAATAAATAATCCATTAAAATTGTTTTAAATCATGCTGTAAATGTCTCAATTGAGAGTAATGGAAAAAAGAGAATGAACTGTAAAATTAAACACAAGCTAAAATATCTCCTATAGCCTTGGATCACTGAGTTTATTCTCTGGCTTTTAACACCGTGTGAGTTGTGTGGTCCTCTGTGTTTTTTATATATTTTATTTAAATTTGTATATTATTTACTTATTGCTGTTTTTAACGGTTTAATTTTCTTTGACTGGTTTTAGTGTTTTAGGCCTGGTAAGGTTAAAATGAGCATTTATACCCTCTGTTGCATACCTTTTGTTGTTTAATAAAGTGGATTTGAACCCATTTTGCAGCTTTTTGACATTTTCCTCTAACTTTGCATACTTTCAAAACATTTTCCATATTCTCTCATACCCAATATCACCTACCTCAAGCTCTCATGTTTATGTAGTCTGTTTTCACTCCTAGCCCTGGGTTTAGATGGTAAGACAGTAAAGCAAACATTTCAAATTTTAATGGGCTCTTAACTGTGACCTCCCCTCATCCCCTCACATTTCTACATGAATTTTCTGTCACTAAGACTTGTGAAAAGTGTTTATAGGCCACCATGGTGCGCTTCCTTACATGTCCCTGACCATAACCAGGTTTTGTGCCCCGGTGGTTGGGGGCCCCTGGTTTAAAGCTATTGTATTACAAAATACTGTAACATTTGGTTATAATTTGACCATCTACAACTTCTAAATTAATATATTTAAGTAAGAAGTGTTTTAATTTTTATTTAAGTACGTGCAGTTCTAATCTACAAATCAACCTCTAGATTATAATTAAACAGTCCCCGTGATCATGCTGCTCATATTTTGACATCATGAGACTGAGAAGACACTTAACAGTTGATCAGGCGGGATGACAGTGAGACTACAGCAGTAACAGTAGCACAGAGGCACAGAAGGGGATATCCTTCAGTCTGATGACCATGAACTAAATTCCAGGCACATTAGAGACAAGAGAGAAGTACCAGAGTCTCATATCATCTAAACCGCTCACATCAACATGGTGATGTGCAAGACTACTTGCAAGAACCTTACCACATGCACCCACACAGAGTAATCATCTGGCATGGAACAAGAAGCATTTGCCCTGGATGAGGCGATGAGGCACCAGTGGGCCCCAGTGTTGTTCTCAGAAACATTGATTCACACGATGCAGAAATTATGGCCACCAACGTTGATGGAGACTGGGTAACCAGACTGACTTCTTGAATGTACCTTAAGAAGAGTTGAACTCCTTGACTCTGCAGGCAGTAAGTCTGAGACATCCAAGGCCACATGACACATATTGAGATGTAGAGATTATTTGTTGTGCTTATTTGTTGTGCTTAAACCTTGTTTTTTACTATACAGTCTGAAATCCAGATAAGACTACTTTATTTTAATTATATAGCGTCATTCTTCCACAGGCATATTAAAATTTGGCAGCAAGATTAATTCTCATGATTTTTGTGAGTTCACAATGAGTATATGTGAATACATGTTTATATTAGACAACAATTAGTTGATAGAAGTGGAATTAGTATGTTGATGAGAATATTCAATACAAATATACAAATAAACAAACTGCAAAGGTTATAGACCAAAACTGTGAAATCACAGCTCTTGTGAGTGTTCTTGACCTGCAGTGGTCAGTTGCAATCAAAAGTCCACCAATTAGGGAGCTGTGGAACATCGGTGGACAGTGATGCACAAGTGAAGTGAAGACAGGTCTGTGAGCTGTTTTGATACTTAAATTGCTCCAGAACTAGGGGCAGTTCTAGGGGAAGGGCCACAGGGGCCCTGGCCCCACCTCTTATTTGATTGGCCCCTGAAGTGCTCCTATTCTGTCAATCAACTGACGAGAAGAACAACCTCTTGGTGGCAGCAGACCTATTGCCTCAATACAATTTAATGGGAGAAGAAACAGATCTGTGGAGGGCTTTTGTTTTTTTACTGTCTATGCTCGAAATGCTTGAACGTTATCATTCACGGAGTCGGATTCCATACTTTACTGCTTCATAATGTTTCATTTGTGACATGACAATCCAAATGTATTTGCATTGTACTGAATTAATCACATGTGTGCTTGGATGTACCCTGTACTTTGCCCCTGAATGTAACATGTGGCCCCTTAATGTCTCTTGTTTCAAAAAAATCTTAGAACTGCCATTGGGTTGTTGCCAAGTGTCATCAAAAATTCATCTAACAAAAAATAAAAAGTACTGCAGAGATGCAAAAAAATCACACACAAAAAAAAGAAATGTCCTTAAATGTCAAATCAAATATCAAAGCACACCTTCAATGGAAGTGAGGAAAGAGAGAGGTGTTAAAACTGTTAATACAGGCACAGTAAGAATAAAGAATAAAGGCACAGTAAGTTCACCAGGATCATGGGTGGGTGGCTCCTCATTTTGCAACAGAAATCATTATCAGAACACTATAAACTGAGAAAACATCTCTTTAAAAGGCATACTCCTGTTCTGCCACAGAAATTAAATTGTCACTTTTTCTTATTCTGTATCACATAAAGTCAGAACTAAAAATTACCTTGAGCAATTTTTCAGTATAAACATGAAATCTTTGTCGCAAGACCTCACCAACTTCCTGTCCAGTGAAATGCGGAATAAAAGTAAAAGTACAAAACCTTGTGACCAAGTATCATTTCACTTTATATTGAATTAATTTTTTCATCACTTTATATTGAATAAATATTGTAAATAAGGCATAAATGTAATACAAAAACAACATGAACTTATGAACCTATAAACAAACCAAAGACTACTCCAGGACTAATTAAACTGTCTAAATATCCAACTAAAACATAATACCATTACTAACAACATTATGCATTCACAGCTATTTTAACACATCCTCATGTTGTGGAGGTGATATGCCCCAACAGCTCAGTTGGATCTCTGTCCCTCAGGGTTATAAATACAATGGTTCACAGTTTTATTCCTCTTATATAATGGACAACTATAATCCATAATTTCTTTGACAAATAAACATCAAAAATGCTTTTTTGAAAACTGTAATTCTGTTAGAACAATTAAGCATTGTGCCAATCAGCAATCTGTGTGTTCATATACACTGTGTGTGGTGTTCTCTGTAGGGGAGCTGCTGGGCCCAAGAAAAACACTTTTATTCTGTAAATGAAAAAATTTGCATACTCCATCAACCTTGGCTTTAGTTAGCCAAGCTCTGCATCACTTTCAAATCACTTTTAATGGCCAAGATTTGATCTTCAGCCACGCTGTCTGATTTAAAGCATTTCTTCTAAGCATTTTTGAACCAAGTTAAGACTGTGTTTGTGAAACATTGCTAATATTAATTTAATGAACAGCCTAAATAGGTCTGCATAAAAATTAAATGGGGAACTCCACATACTCCAAATTAAACTACGCTAAAATGTTATGCAGGAAGCCACCATTGTTCCATGTACTGTAAACAACATGTGACCACGTGACACATCATTGTGAGTGTATAAATATAGCATGAACCATAGCAAAAACTGCAGACAAAGTTGTAGCTATAGAACCTCCAGTGTTATCTTACTACAGTATCAAACAGGTAGAGCAAAGGTAGCCTAGAAGGTGTGGCCATGTTGCATAGCCTACAAACTCTGCAGTTACATGTGAAGTAACATTATTTAAAAGAATATCACGAACCTATTACCTGTTACATGATCTGATGAAGCACTCTGGTCAGGGCTCACACGGTTTCGGTTTAACCCACTACATACACCCTACTTCGATTCTCACTGAAACTGTAAAGTGACTTACCCACCAGATGATGGAATAAAAACACAAGAGGAACTTGAGGACTACGTAAGAGCATCTGTGGCAATAGCGAATATCGTCCTTGTTGGACATGATGGCCGTAGGTAGCCTGTCTATTCAGCACAGTGAGCTGGACAGTGGACAGTGAACAGCGGACACCCCCCTCGCGCTGCGCTGTTTACTCCACACTTCCGCGTTGTCGTCACCAGCGCACCTGAGAGAGCGCGACTGTTAGCATGGCGAGCATAGACCGTATATATATATATATATATATATATATATATATATATATATATATATATATATATATATATATATATATATATATATATATATATATATATATATATATATATATATATTATACAGTCTATGGCAGCGATCGCAGTTTTCAGCTTTCCTTCACTTGTGTGGTTTCTACTGAGTCAGAGATAGTTTGCACATTGCTGTTGGATTTAGTTATTTAGCTGATCTAGTTTAATAAGTAGTATAGGGCTCACGTGACAGACACATTTAATTCAAATCCGGATATTTGAGGATCTGGACGAATTTCACTTCTGGCAAACTTGGACATATGTTATCAATATGTTTTTTGTCTTGTTATCATAAACTAAATAAGTATATTTCAGAAACTGCCCCCCCAAACGTTCCATGTTGGATAGTAATAGATATTATGCAAGCAGGCCTACCGAAAATATAATAATAATAATAATAATAATAATAATAATAATAATAATAATAGCCTTATATAAATAATAGCCTTATAATAGTATTCCGAGCCATTTAAAATGTATTTAGAATAAATTAATATATGGTCACAACATTCTGTTGGTTCATCAGAGCAAGTATAATATATAATTTAGGACAAAGAAAAATGTAAACTTATTCAATTAGATTTGACTTATAAGAGGAAACCACAATAATGAATAAGCACTTTGAATGTTGTCTACATGACATGTACACTTGGTTTACTTTACAAGGTCCTAACAATTTTAGCAGAAGTCAGTTTTTCTGTGTCTTGTCCTTTCTTTTTTAGAATGCAACTCCAGTTTGGAACTTTAAAAAACAGGTTTAAAAATCTTCCTTCACTTTTTTCACAGTTTTGTGTAAAGTGCCAGAGGAAGTTCTCTTAAAGAAGGGGTTCTCAAACTGTGGGTCAGGGTCCAAAAAAGGGGCACAGAGTGTTTCAGTGCAGTTTGCTTGGCTTTGTATTAGGTAGATCTTTATGACTTGGTCATTTTGAAAGTAGCTCGCACGCTGAAAAAGTGTGAGCACCCCTGCTCTAGGCCTTTGAGGGCAGCATGCGCCCTGGTAACTTTAGTCTTTTCACCCTTCCTGTAACTCCCCCATTTTACAAACTATCAATAATTTCAGTATTACATATACATGATCTGTTTATGAAGTTTTAGGCAAATGGGCAGCAATGACTCTTGTACCAAACGTGGACTATAATAAAATATTACTTCAGATAATTTTGTGGCATGTAGCTATTAGTGATATTAAGTATATTATATGTATTTGAAATATTTGCCTTACCCACCGCTGCCTTTAAAGCTGTAAGTGAATCAGCTCCAGATTGATTTGCGCTCTCATTCGGAGGAGCGTTGGCACTGCAGCTTCACGCGCTCTCACGCACGCCAATCCAGTGTTGAGCTTGGACCTGCACCTCGTACAATCTTACGTGTGGGGAAACGGTGGAGGAGCGAGTGCCTCATAGTGAGTGTGTGCGTAAAAGAATCGACAACTAAGGGTGTCTGAATGGATGGATTTAGGCAGAAAAATATTTTGGATTCCAAATGGATTAAACTCCAATCCAGGTAAGTATATTTTATAAAGGCTATAGTCTCAAATGGGCTCATTTTAAAGGTCATGGACAAGTATCCTTGGTGACTTAATTAAGTAGGCTATTTTTGTATACACTGATTGCGGCACATGTGGTGGAAAAGATAAAATATCACTTTACCCCGAAGGAAATTCGTAGAGAGTCCTGTCATAAATAAGCTACGCGAAAGCCTCTCCTTCACAGTCGGTCTTAATTCAGTCTTTTTTGTAGACCTTGAATGGTTCAGTGCGTAAGATGCTCTACACACAAACCATATTAATTAGAGGCGTTTTCCATCAGGTAAATCAGAAAAATGGATGCTGAAAGTCTTATTCAACATGTTCAACGAGAAGTCACATCAGACCCCTTATCGGAGACCACGGACTGGCTAGATGACGGGAATAAGTTCCACCAACCTGGCTGGCAGGTATGCTATACAATTAATGCAATTAATAATGTAGCCTACTTTGACACAATATATGTTCCAAAAAACGACACTCGAGAAGGTGGATTACGTTTTGAAATAGTGCAAAAGCAATTATATACTTAAAAATAGTTTAATAGTTATACATATTATTGTATCTTAATTTAGCGCTTTCTTTTCTTCTTCTTCTTTTTTTTTTTTTTTTAACTTTTCATATTTTATACAATCTGCAGGTAGCTCTGTGGGCCATTGCCTACTCCCTGATCATTCTGGTCTCTGTGACTGGGAACGTCACTGTCATCTGGATCATTTTGGCGCACAGGCGCATGAGGACAGTGACCAACTACTTCATCGTCAACCTGGCCTTCTCTGACGTTTCTATGGCAACTTTCAATACCCTTTTTAACTTTGTTTATGCTCTTCACAATGACTGGTACTTTGGCCTGGGCTATTGCAGATTTCAAAACTTCTTCCCAATTACTGCCATGTTTTCATCCATTTACTCTATGACCGCCATTGCAGTGGATAGGTGAGTAGGACTAATATATTCTTTTTTACACACCATAACCCTGTTTCATCATAAAACGCTTAGTCCTTAAACTTACTGATGTTTGCATACGTCGTCTCACTTTACACATTTTTCAGTAATATACATTAACACAATGGCATTGGTTGGTACACCGCATTGCAGTCTGTCACTGGAGCATTTAATTAAAGTGCTTAACGTGGACATGCATATGTCGGTCCAATGACTTGGGACTTGATGATAAATGGGATGATCCTTGTGCAGGAGCTTACTTCAGACCTAAAATCTGCTTACTGCTCCCAGTCTTTCATTACTTTCCAATTTGACAATCAGTGATTATATTATCATGATGTCTTGATTTTTAAGCCAGTTTTCAGGGTCTGCAGCAGGCAAAAGTAAAACAGATTACTTCCTAATTTAAGAGAAGTGTGAAAGAGAATCCACATAATGTGATCAACAATAATATTATTGACAGTCTATGTCAACCAAATGAAAACCATGTGAATGAAAGTGAGAAATGACTGATATGGTTCATCTAATATTATGCTAATAGGCTCCAGTCATCTCGTTTATTGATTAAACTAAAACAAATCCATATAAGTTACAGAACTGCATTTCTTTTTTTATTGTATGAAAACATCGCAATGACCCACTTGTTCTTAAAGCTTGTAATTGTCTGGCTTTTGTTTCACTCAGGATTAAGGGAATACATTTCCTAAACACCAGTGTCTGTGTTCAGGTACATGGCCATCATCCACCCACTGAAGCCCCGCCTCTCCTCTACCTCCACCAAAGCTCTTATTGCTCTCATCTGGATCATTGCTGTTCTGCTGGCATTTCCTCAGTGCTACTACAGCGTGACCCACTTTTACTACCCCCGGACAGTGTGCATGGTGGACTGGCCTGACGACTATGGGGGAACACACCAATTGAGGTAAAACTAGATGACATCAATCAGTCCCATGTCATAATTTCAGATCAAACTTAATTTATAAATCCCTTTTCATACAAAAAAGATGCTTCACAGTCAATTAAGACACTCTTACATGCCCTCCCATCCCAACTACCCTACACCCATTACTGGCCTACCACACACAACCAACAACCCACAACAGTGTCAACAATCACATACACAGTCTCACATACAAAAATCACTCACACTAAAACTACTGAACATAAGGCCAAGTACAGATGGGTTATAATATTGGCTTTTAGTAAGTCTGTAACTGAAGTAAGTAACAAATATACGACTAATATGCATACATTTTTAAACATACAAGCATCAATAACGCAACTATGTGATCAAATAAGCACCACTTAAATAAATTAGATAAAATATTCAAATTCAATACACCGTGAGCATCATAATTCACAGACTGACAATTTACTAAAGCAAATTGTAATGTAATGTAACCACACTGTTCTGACTTGCTGTGCAAATGTAATGACCTGGTATACTATACAATACTATTTCCAGTTACCAGTACACAGTGATAGTGTTGATCTACCTACTCCCCCTGTTGGTTATGTTGGTGACCTACAGTCTGGTGGGCCGTACATTGTGGGGGGCGCACATTCCTGGAGAAGCCTCTGACCATTATCACAATCAGATAACATCCAAGCGAAAGGTGGGCCCACTTTTTACTACACATTCTACACATTTTAACTCATTTTTTATTACAGTGCTATATTAATACATTTTATTTAATACATTTCTCAGGTTGTCAAGATGATGATTGTCGTAGTGACAACCTTTGCTTTGTGCTGGCTGCCCTATCATGTTTATTTCATACTTGGCACATTCAACACTGAAGTTTATAAGAAGTGGTACATCCAACAGGTGTTTCTTCATTCCTATGTTTATTCTGTAGTGATAGAAAACTGTTCTCAAGTATTTCTTTCAAAACAATATTAAAACCATATTAGGCAAGTGGCCAAGAAATTACTAGTGTCACATATATGAGATAGTTAGAATTTTAAATTAGTTAAATGCACAGGACAGAATAGAGTCTTGTTTTATTAATAATAATTCTGCTTTCTTACTACAGCCTGTTGTTGTCGCTTTCTTCTCTTTTCTGCAGGTGTATCTTGCCATATTCTGGTTGGCGATGAGTTCAACCATGTACAATCCTATCATCTATTGTTGTCTAAACCAAAGGTAGTTCTCAAATACATTCATTTACATTGATAGAAAAAAATTTTTTCAGTCAGTCTTATATTTTTTTCCTAACTGTGCATCCCCCAGGTTTCGTGCTGGTTTTCGTCACGCTTTTGCTTGGTGTCCCTTTGTCAAATTGTCAGAGGAAGATAAGATGGAGCTTCAGCACACCCGCACGTTCAGAGTGACAATGACACGCAGCCACCAGCAGGAAGCTTCCATCAAAACCACCAACACCCTCAATATCAACAAAGAGTCAGAGGGCTATGCAGCAATACAAATTAAAAAGCTATCTGGTACTACAGATAAACTGATTGATCACTGACACCAAAATGTATCAAGATAATAGAAGCAGCTGTGGCTCAGTGGTAGAGCATTCACCCACCAACCCAAAAGTCAGCAGTTCAATCTGAGCTTAAACCTGGGCACACTGTTGCTGTGCCCTTGGGCACTTCAAACTTCACCCACATTGCTTGTGTATGAATATGGTCAGTGGGGGTTTATTGGTTGGAGGGGCCAATGGCACATGTATGCAGTTGTGGCTACATAAGTAGTACCACCAGTCATGAAGTGAATGAATAATGACAGTGAAGCTCTATGATTGTAAAATGTAATACAAATGTAAAGCATTACTTAAGTAAAGTACTTATGTAAATTAATTTTGTTACTGACCACCCCTGATCAAGACATTATCCAAACTACTTAGATAGGATACCTGCAGGACTGCAAATATGTATAAAATATTACACAACATTGTGTAACAAAAAGCTGATTTTCAGTATTGTACTCTTTTAGCATCTGGTTTCAGCGTTGGGCAGTGTCTTCTATAGTCCAACTAAAATGTTTTCATATGGTGATTTGTGTGTGTTGTTTAGTCCCCTGTGTCTTTAGTCTATGAACTTTGATAAAAGTGTGGAATCATGGGTGGACATACTGAATCGCAAACAATCGCAATCTGTGTTTAAACAGGTGATCATTGTGTTAAAAATTCAGCAAAAATGTTACGTAGTTTTAATATGCACAACATTTAGTAACATTAAGGCATGTTTAACAAGTGGGCTAAAAAGGAACAACTATGCCTGCTGTATTTAATGCCCTTAACTGAATGTGAGGGCACATTGTATATATTTATTCAGTTGAGGCAAATGTTTGTGTTTTTGTGGTGCCACTGAAATTTGTTAAACAACAAACTCAATAAAAAAAAGTCAACATAAAAAAGACTTTTAATTTGAAATGTACAAAGATTAGTGACCAGAACAGTCAATACAGCACAGTTAATATGTATTGTATTGACTGTTGTCTGTTACATGTATAAAATAAATACATAAAGTAATGGCACGATAGTGTAATATATTAAGTATGGACACATATTCCCTTTAATCTCATTGTACATTTCTCACACATCCCTTTGCTGTCCAGAAGTTCAATTTTGTGTCCTGAAATGTAGTTGCCTTATATTTTTCATTGCAATATATATATATATATATATATATATATATATATATATATATATATATATATATATATATATATATATATATATATATACACACACTTTTACCATGTAACTGTAATGGGTAAGACATCATACTTGAAGATATTTTACTTTTACAGAATACTACTAACCTTTGATTCAAATAATTTAAATAATTCAACTCACCACACAAAAGTGTGCACGTTTACAAGCTGTTATTACAGTTTTTCTCTGTTGGTTTGGCTCATTTCTTCAAACAGAAATTATATTCTTAAAACTGTAAGATAAGATAAGATAAGATAAGATAATCCTTTATTGTCTCCCATGGGAGAAATTAGTCTTGGGACAGGGGTAACATGCCCCCTAGATCATTTGGCCAAACAGTTTGATAGTTCTACACAACATTACAGCTCACCAGCAAAAGCTCATATCTCTCCCAAAACTGTTCACATATGCTTCAAAACAGATTCCTTTCCCATATAAAGAGTCAGTACCTGAAACTATCTCAGAGGGGTAGGGTTGTAGTTCTTCACAGAGACCGGCTTGCCCCCTACCAGCCCTTGGTTCCATCAGCAGGGGCTTCAGGAGACCAAATCCAGTCGTCATCAAGTAGCCCTGCGGCAGCCACCAATGGCAAGTCGGAGCATCGCCCTCGGAGGGAACGGAGACTCCCCTCACATCTGAGTGACTTTGTTGTTGACAACCAACTGGGGACAGTTAATCGTGCTAGTGGGGGGCTGTGCGGGTTCTAATAAACCTGAAACACGAGCGAACCTGTTCTCACGATTTTCTTTTCGTAACTGCCGTTACAGTATGAATGAGTAGGCTAGGGTGACCATATTTCCGTTTGTGAAAACCCGGACACTTTGGGGGGGGGAGGGGGAGGGGATTTCACAATTTCTCGGATTTTTTTTTTTTATTTATAGCGTATAAATGCGTATTGTGTATTACAGGCGGGTAGTAATTACACACGGGTGGGTCAGGACTAAACCAGGTCTAAACCAGGACTAATCTTGGATTTAAGAGAGAAAACGCCGAGCAGTTTGGCAGCAAAGCGCGATCGGGCAACTGCCGCGTTTACGTCCGTGAAGTGCGGAGCTGAGCCGGTCCTTTCTCCTGCTGTCACCTCCAAGCCCGTCCTGACGGTGAGTCCTGTTTCAGTTCTGGTTTAGTCCTGGTTTAGTCCTGGTTTAATCCTAGTTCAGTCGTGGATTAGTCCTCCTCTTCAGTCCTGGAATCAGTCCTGGGTTAGTCCTGGTTTAGTCTTGGTTCAGCACGTGGCGTTGGCAGTACAAAAGTTTGATATAATCTCGGGTTAACGGGCAGGTGCGGTCCTGTACTGGTGCGGTGTTGTACTGGGGGTCTCCAAAAATGGACCCGTGCGAGACTCTGCGCTGTTGGGCTCCATTACGGAATAAATTAATCTTCAGTTTGTTACATAAAGAAGGAGGAAAATAACACAAGGACGACAGCAGAAATAAGTTTTAAGAAGGATGTAAAACGGGTTGCACCTGTCCTGTGTGAGAAAAGTGTGTAAAGTTTGTGATGACGGGTTTTACAGCCTTAACACAGATAGAATAATTGTAAAATATAAAGTTGACTACTTCGCGGATTTCACTTATCGCGGGTTATTTTTAGAACGTAACCCGATATAAACGAGGGACACTGTACTCTCACCTCACAACCTGTGCACATGGACTCACACTTGTCCCGACCGGGACGGAAAACGGAGAATTTCTTGTACAAGTCATTGTTAAATGCGCATTTGTGCTTCAGCATGTTGCAGACCGACCGACTGTTTGTGTCTTGCTCCTTCTGAGTCACAGACGCCACGAGAGACGCTCAGTTTAATGAACGGTACTGAAAACCCGGACATTTGCATCACTTTAAAAAAAAAAACAACAAAACGTTTGGTCACCCTAGAGTAGGCTGGTGCGCAATGGAGAATTTGGAGCATTTTGTAAAGGAGAAGAATCTGTGTATCATTCGTTCATTTGACTGAAAAAGGACTGAATCAGGACTAAATCAGGCCCGGAACCAAACTAGAACTAAGACCAGGATTGAGACCGGGATCAGACCAGGACTGAGGCCGGGACCAGACCAGGACTGAAAACGGTTTAGTCCTGGTTTAAGTCACGGAAATGGGGAAAGGTGTTTCCATGACTTTAAAATGTGATGCGGGACTATTGCGCCGCATACGGACTGCCAGGACTGAACCAGGACTGAATCAGGACTGAATCAGGACTAAACCAGGACTAAACCATTTTCAGTCCTGGCCTGGTCCCAGTCTCAGTCCCGGTCTGGTCCCAGTATCACGGTTTGGTCCTGGTCTGGTCCCGATCTCAGTCCCAGTCTCAGTCCTGGTCCTGTTCCCGGTCTCAATCCTGGTCTCAGTTCTGGTCTGATCCCGATCTTAGTCTTGGTCCCAGACTCAGTCCTTGTCTGGTCCCGGTCTAAGTCCTGGTCTCAGTCCTGGTCTGGTCCCGGACCTGGTTTAGTCCTGGTTCAGTCCTGATTCAGTCCGGAGGCACAAATAATGAAGAATTTTTAAAACATTTTTTTAAATAGTTTTCTTATTTTTGGTTTATATTGAAAAACAAGGTTCTTCTGATTTTTCACTTTGACTTTGATGTTATTATGACTTCATTCTCGTAATATTATAACTTTATTCTCATAATATTACGACTTTATTTTAACTTAGACTTTATTCTCGTAAAATTGTGACTTTATTCCTGTAAAATTATGACTTTATTCTCGTAACCAGCATCTTTTTTCTTTTTTTTTTTTTTATCTGACCCTTACACTCCGTCGTAGGCATTAGCCTTGTGGTTGCTTTACTGAGTTAAGAATTTATCAAATGTACCACAGTAGCGTATTTAGAGTGAATAATGTTCCACTGATGATTCTGCTACTTGGGGAAGAAAAAAAAAAACCTCTTGGGTCCGTGTACATTCACATTGCATTCGATTTTCCTATTGAAATGGGAAATTCAACATCGTAACACTTTGTTGTAAGCCGAAAATATTTCCTTTTTGTCCGTGTTTTTGTCGTAGAGCAGTTATTTTAATAGATCCATGCCCCAGAGCCCCGTGACAAGTGTCCGTGATGCTCTTCACTTTCTGGACCGGGTTATTGCGCAGCGGCGCACTGCCTTTAAGCGGGACTGGAGAGCGCTCTCAGCGGCTAGACTGCAGCTGACTCTCTGAGGGGAGCTGCCGGAATTCCCGGTGTTTCTGCAGGCTGTAGATCAGCAGCGGGGACACGGTATACGCTTCGTAGCGTGGACTGGGCACCAGAGGAGGTGGAATTGTCTCTAAATAAGGATTAAACCCGCATTTGATCAGGTCTAACCCGACACCTGCATACGCCTAAACCAGGTGAGTCCCGCTCTGCCTCTGCTCCTTCTCGAGGAGACCGCAAAACAGCGGGTCCACGATCTCACGCAAACCCAATCCAAACGCCCTCACACGGCCACATCTCTGCCTGCACCCGGTACCGATTCCCCATCTCCAAACGAAAATCTAATGGCC